AAATGTACTTTAAAATGGCATACAAATGCATAAGTGGGATATGCCAAGGTTCTGGAGGGAAATATTTAGGAGCCAGATATACGACCAATAAAACATTCTAGAATAGTGTATATTAATCGAGACCCTACATATATTTGCACAAATCATTCTACCCTCCTTTGGCCATTTCAGTGAGTACAGGGTATAAGAACTGTGCGTTTGTGGCTTTCGACAAGGGTCTCGTCTGAAAGTTTGTATATTTTTGCTCAATTTTAAGCGGTTTAATTTGAATACGTTCAAAGGATTTGCCTGTGTGCAAATTAAAGGCGTTCTAATGGCTCGTATCTTGTGAAAATATATTTTGTGGTTTACTTTTGCTGTCCGGCTTATATATATAACATGTATATAAGCTAAAATAACAACATGTCAGAAATTAAATAATTAAAAGTAAATTAATATGCTCATATTTTAAGTCAATTTATAAACATAAAAGTTATTTTCGTTTTATTGATGAGAGAATACTTTGCAGAGAAATTTGTACTACAAAAATAAAGCTTTCTTGGTCCGACTGACCGACTGACTGACGAATTGTTATTTTCTAGATAGTTATTATATATATATATGTAAATCTGATAATCAACGCTTCAGATTGATTATTGGAATTAGCTTTCGCAAAGATGAAGCAGTTGTGCAAACTGACGAAAAGATACATTTTTGTCCTTCAACTGATCGCTTTCAATTTTATTTTCTTTTTTTATCAAATGCGAAATACTGTCGGAAATTAGATTTCAATAGCATTTTATGAAAACACTATTAGTCACTATATAATGATCCAATCAGGCGCAATAAGCATATAGTATAAGCAACTCGACCATTTGACAACGAACGGATAAGCTCGTAAAGGGATAGTCAGCTCAGTCAGACAGAAAATAAGCCAACAATTGACTTCCTCAAATGAACCCGACGAATTTATTGCCTTGGAAAGCTATCCAGTCGGCAGGCTGCTTTGCCTAGCCAGATAAGTTATTGATTATTTGGCCACATCTGCTGCATGCGAGTCAGGGAGCATCTCTAACAAGTTTACCGGGTATATTGAGGGTCAGATGCCTTTTGAATATGTTAAAAGGACATTGGAAATCGAATAATGAAGTTTCATTATCTATATTAAGTCACATTTGATGAAACATTACACAAACTAACAGAGCACAATCTTGCCGACTGCGTAATACTCTGTCCGTGCTCCGTTGGCCTAATGCCTTAAAAACTTTGTGACGTTATATTTGAGGAAGATTAGGCCCTCGGGTAGTTCGGATCTTAAATAGATAAGATATCTAACTACACGAGTATATACTTATAGGCATGGACGGAGAGGGGAGCACATTGCCCAAAGCCAATATACTCTTTTCGGTTAGTGAGAACAGGGCATAAAAAGGCTTACAATTTTTAGCCCCAGCTTTGCATTTTCTGTTTATTTCGTCGTAAATCAAGTCATTCACTATTACATATACAGCCCGGCCTGAAAGAAAATTCAGCAACAAAATAGTCATTTGCAATGTCCCTAGACAACAATTTAAATATATTTTGGCATTTTTGTTGTTTTTACTGCTTTCGAATTATCCTTGCGCTACCTTTTCTTCAAACTTAAATTGTTTTCTATCTCTGTCTTTGTTTTGTTTTCAAATTGTTTTTGTTTTTTTTTTTTTGTGTGTCTTAAGGGCTGTTTCATTGCCATAAGCCGTCCGTCCATCTCGGCATTTTTCGCCAGCCATTTAATTTGATGCCAGCTAAGGATTAATTTTTGTTTAAATAAAAATCAAAATTAATTTTCCGCCTACCTTTGATCAGAACAATAAGGCTTCCATTTTACGCTTTTGCCTGTATTTTATTGAAAGCTTGCTGCAGAAAACGCATTCAAACGAGGTATTAAAGTTTTTTTCAGATTGCAATAAATAAATAACCCGTCTAAAAACACACAAATTAAAATTGTTCATACAAAAGAAAGTTTCAGTCATAGTTTTTCCCCGGGAGCTTAATAATATTGTTAGCTAGTTAGTTTTGATAAGATATATTAAACATACAAATATTACAAGTTTCAAATTTTAAATTCCTTTTGATATATATATGTAGATTGATAACTTTAATACTGAAAGATTTGTGCCCACAGAAATAATAGATAAACGGACTATGATGTATCGACAAAGGTCTTCTTGTATTTTATTTATATGTCAGCACATAAATAAGTAAAGTAACATTTTAAACAGTTTGTCGAAACACATCTAAAACGTAAGAGCTGAAAACCTTGATATCTAACTTTGGTTACCTTATGGGATCAATGTGTACTCTGGGAAGCGGCTTAGGGGGATTCCCCCATTAAGTGTTGAACATTCAAGGAAAACTGTTGCTTGTAATTGTTTAATCTCCGATCAGACTAAAATTCGCTTTCATAGATCTTTGTTTAAACTATATCGAGTGGTAAAGTCTCCTTTCTCTCCCACAAGTTACATGAGCCAAGTAAAGTTTAGAATACAATAACAAGTATCCCCTTCAACAGTTTTAAGCTATTAATTGGCATTTGACAGAGTCTAGCGAAGTCGGCTGTAAAAGTTAAATAGAAATAATGTGTACCTTGCATATAATTAACAATATGCTTTGAGTTGGCTTTTGGTTCTTGGAAAAAAAAGTAAATGTATGCTAGACTGCAAATTAATTAAAGAACACATAAAAGGGAAGCACGAATAAGTAGGCTCACAATAGAAAAATCAATATTGGGTCAGAACTCTCTTGGGATTGAACACCTAAAGGTACAAAACCTTTAGTTGAATTTTATTTTTGTTAACATTTTTTCTGTGCTATTTCTGTGACTCCTTAAACTGTTTTACTGCCCAATGTGACCGTAATTACCGTACGCTGAAATTTGCTAAAATGGCACGAGGTAGCTGTGTAAAAAACCAATAAGGGTGTGCCTGACTAAAAGATACTCTGACCCTACTTTTACAAACATTAAAACTTATATTTTACATACAGAAGCGCAGATGCCCAAGCACGACCATCTTATGGGAAAATCGGATCTTATTGTCCGATCTTTATGAAATTTTCAGCTCATAAATATAACATGAAGATTTTAGTTTCTGCAAACGACGCACTAATACATCAAGACTCAGCTCATCATCCTTGTCAAGAATGCCAATGTGCCTCCGTTTTTACTTCAGCTCGACTGGGTACAGGGTATCCCTTGGTTGGGTCTTTTATTTGCCACTACCACTCGCTATAATCGCAAACTTATCTCCCCAGCCATACCAAACCATTTCTATGGGTATTTTTTGCTGTTGTCTCTTGAATAGCTGCCGAACTAATTGTTTAGCCTGGCTCAAGTTGTCTTCTATTCTCCGCTTTTCAATTGAATTCCTTGGATTTAGCTTGTTTTGCTGTGGTAATGTTAAGAGCTAAATAAGGTTTCAATTGTTGTTTAGAGAACAACAAACAATACACAAAGCCGTAACGCGCTATATCTTTTTATCTCAAACTATCCCTCTCTCTCTGTCTCTCCTTCTCTTTGTATAAGTATATAAAGAGAAATAAAATTTGTTGTATCTTTGTAGGACTTACCACATTTGGAAGGAGGAGCTCGTGCGTTTCGTTGCCACGCCACAGATGCGAATCCTGCGGCACATTTTGTATGTCACATTCAAGCGAATTGATTTTCTCCTGGAGGCGACTTAAAATCCGCGGTGGAGCAATTGGCTTTAGTTCCGATTTAGTGAGATTAGCTAAATGACGTGATCCCTCCACGTCTGGACTCTGCTTTGAGGCAGACGTTGTTATTTTGATTTTGGCTGAGACCACTTCCAGCTTTTCCGACTGCGGGTCGGCGGCATCCTTCAGCAATAATTTAGCGCGCTTAAGCTCGTGCCCATATTTTATGGGTTTCACAGTAGACCATTTACTCGTTGTTTTTGCTGCCGAGGCGCCGTCAAAACTTTGTGCCGTAGACGTCAAAGTCACGCGTCTCGGCGGCAAGGACGTGGTAGGTGGCGAGGACGACTCCGTCGAGCTTCTTGCCGCCAAGTTTGTGGTTTCGCTTGCTCTAATGACTTGACGTGGCTGCTGCTCTGAACTTTGCCCAAGACTCTCAGTCAATGCTGGGCCCTCTGATGACTTTATAATGCTGCTACCAGTGGGTGCACTTGTTCCTAGCGCAGTGCCAATTTCTTTCATTAACTTTCGTTTATTATGCAACAACATTTCGTTGTACAACTCTTTGCTGTTGTAGAACTTTGTGGTGGAGAACTCGGGATGCGAGGCAACGGCTGCCGCCACTGCTGCAGATGCCACCGCATCAGTATTGAACTTGGTGTTGGCGAAGTCGACGTGTGGCATGGCCATTACATCGCTGGCCCGTTGCTGCATCGGAAACTCGAAGCTTTTCTTCACACGCCGATCAATGTAGCTGTCGCCCGGCGCCAGCTGTGGCAGACCATTCGCCTGGCTCCTTCTCGAAGGAGCCGTGGCAGCAGTCGCAGATGCTGCGGTTGTTGTTTCGTGCAACTGAAACTTGCGCTCGATTTCCGTTATCAACTCATCCTGCTCGGCCAACAATTTGCCGGTAAAATAACTAGGCGTGGACTCCACGCCAGGCGCTGTTGTCAACGGGGTCGTTGCCGGATTGATACTTGGTTTGTCTTCCTCCACCTCGTTGGGCATTAGATTCTGCCCGTACTCGTCGGCATTATCGCTCCGTATCATCGGCTGAAAGTCCTCCAGCTGCACCGGATACAGATCCACAATATTCAGCTTGCTCGCCCCCATTGGCGGCTGCTGGGCCAACAGCGCCCCATAGCGTGCCCGCTCATCCTCATTGAGATCGGCGAGAGTCTCGGCCACCTGATACGATTCTGCCGCCTGCATTTGTATATGTATTGGCAGAGCTGAAGAGTCCCCGGTGTCCTCCTCCTCCTCCTGCTGCTGCTGCTGCTGCTGCTCCATCTCTGCCGCTGGCTCGCTTAGCCTAATGCGGTAAAGCCTGTCAAAAACGCCGCTCAGCGATGCGAGTGGCGGCACGTTTGTCGTCATTAGCTTATCCGCCGTTGTGGCTGCTGCTTCCGTTGTTGCTGCTCCTGTTGGTCCAGTTGGGATTGCATACTCTTGTGCTGTTGTTGCTGCGGCAATCTTGCCTGCTTCATTTCCGCTTGGAATGGCCGGGGCTGCTGTAGCTGTTGCTATGGGCGTGGTCGAGGCAGAGGTGGTGAGCACGCCCACAGGCCCAATTTGTATTTCCGATAAAGTTTTCGTTTCGCCTACGCCGGGGGCACTGACCACTCTGTGGGCGTGGCTGCTGTGCGAGTCATTTGTTATGGTAAAAGTTGCTGATGTTATTGGCGCTGCTGTTGCAGCCTCGCCCGTTTGTGCCGCCGTGCCGCAAACTGTGCAGGCAATTACAAATGTTAAAATGCACATTTTAGCTATTTTCGCTAGCATTTTGGAAAGTATTTTGCCGCCTGTGGCTCTGGTAACAAGTTGTTCTTATTCTAAGTGTTTTGCCTTTTCCGTTAGTTTGTTGCCGCTTGTTGACTTCATCTGCCTTGGCTCATGCGGATGCTGCAAGGGAAATGAAATTGCGAAAAAAAAAATTAGTTATATTATTGAAAGCCATTTACATCTTAATCTGTGCCACTTAGTTTGTGTTGGACAAAGAGATCAAAAACAATCTAACAATGGGTTTTCATTTCTATTTTGAAACAATTTATATTCGCTCAAATTCTATTAATCAAGCAGAATATTCTGCGGGATGGCAATTACCGCAAAAAGTGAGTGGATTAAATGGCACACTGGACGGAAAAGCTTGCCAACAATCCATGATTTTGGCTTCTGCACCCTTTCCTGTTCAAATGAATTCAGGGCCAGAACGGAGTACGTCCGAACTTAATTAATTGAAACTTGCTTCGCATAAGCTCTGATGTATTTACAGCGGTTTTATGGAAAAAGTCTGTTACGTTTGGCCACAGAAAAGTCTTCTAAGCCATCTGCAGCGTTATCTTCCTCGCACAGACGTCCTGGCTGAGCCATTTCAGGTAAAGATTTTCAGCAAATATGACTGCATAATGTTGCCTAGCTTTATGTTAATTTTTAGAGGAAAAAGGCAACTGTTTTCCGCTGCAATAACACTGCCAGAAAGTTTAAAAATTAAAGCCAACTCTCTCAATTATCTGGCTTTTAACTGATGTTAGATGTCATTAGTACCTAACAGCCTACATTCCAGAAAGTGACTCCCTAGTCTAAGCCTAAAAGAGAGTTAACGTCCTTCTCAGATCTTAACCCCCAGGGCTGCTACAAAGTGACAATGACTTCCATGCAAGTTGCAGTCTTATTGCCCGCCCTCGGCCAGCAAGGCTCACAGAAGTGCAGAAATCTGCTTAAGTGGAGTCTTGTACACGACTCCAGACTCCTAGACTGTGAGAAGAAAAAAAAAACAAGGAGAGCAAGAGCTCACATGCAAGTAATTGCACAGACTCCTATTGGACACCGATGGACTATACGATGAATTAACTAGATTATACCCCTTGAAACTGGAAACTGTTCTAAATTTAAACGTGAAGTTTATATCAAGGAGAAAGCTGTTTTGCCTGCGTAGATGCAATATGAGGTATGGCAACATATTCATTTTCAGGGATGCCTTTCAAATTTAATTGAAATTAAAGCAGGTGAATAACAACAGCTAGGAAAGCTCTAGTCCGTGGTAGAAAATCTCATTATTTCCCAAGTCAAAGCCTGCAAGTCATTGCCTTGTAGTTATTTGGTCGAGCAGACTAACCCAATTTTAAAGAGTACACCTTTTGCCATTTGATGAAAGTACTCGAATATTGTTTTCTAATCTCAAAAACAGTGTTTGCTGTTTGTCGTACTGTAAATATGTGTAACAAAGTGCTAAAAAAATTCTTGCTCGTAAGTCTTATTCACAATTGAAATATAGAGCCCATTTGAAATGTTCTATTTACCATAAAAAAGAACCATGTGAAAATTGCTTATATAAACCGGAAAACGTAAAAATGCTTAGCTGCAGAAAAATAAAAAGGGCACGAGTAGAATGGATGCCTAAGGATGAGACTGACTGCGCAACACCCTGTTCACAGTTGAAGATTATTTCAAAATAGGCTACACAGAACCTTGCCGAGTATAGGGCAAAAGCTGAAAAAAACAGGATTGATGAAAAATTGGGCAGTCACCTTTAAACTGAAAGAAGAGAAGATTTGTATGATTTGTAAGGCCAGAGGTAGGTGTGGCATTAATATATGTTGCGGTCTTTGTTCTTTTTTTTGTAAGCAGAGTACATTTATTACGAGTTGAGAAATTAAAACAAATAATATAAAAAAAAAACGTACCCGCAGAAAATTGGTTAGCGAAAAGATTGTAAGGACTATGCAAAGCTTGTTTGTTGCTGTTTTGCTTTTGTAATGTGTGCAAACAGTTTCAGCAAAAAGGAAAATGTAAATAGAAATAAAGATGAAGCTTAATTAAAAATGCGACCAAGCGTGATATACACTCCGCACTGAGCCACCTAATATAAACGCACATAAATATATTGCCAACCGCAAAAAGCGTTGCAAATGGGCACAACCGACTGCGCAATACTCTGTGCATCAGAGAGTTGATTACGGATAGCATGGCCCTACAAATGTTATTGTGCATGTTTGACAAACATATGTTTTTATGCGTTTTATGATGAAACGGCGAATAAAATATAAAATATACATAATATATAAAATAAAATATCGTTGAGACCCTGCAGTACCTGCAATATTTGTAGGGATTTGCTCTAATACATTGGTGGATATAATTGTTTGCGATTAGCTTGCTTCCCAAAATCATCGACAAGTACGCTAAATATGCCAAGTAGCTATACTCTAACTTAACCGACAGCAAGAAGGACGTTGCACAAAACAAGTATACCCTTCGAACCCTCTGAACAGTGTATAAAGTATGGCTGGGTGGGAAATAAATGCGGGCAGCGATAGGATGTTGCTGATAAACTTACGTTGACTACGTAATCGTTTTCCTCTATATGCGTTTCTTTTATTTAGAAATGTTTTTGTTTGAGGCCGCATATTTTGGTGGCACGCAAAATATTACTTTGAAATCGTACACTTGCAAGCGCGGCGCTCATAAGCCAAAGGAGGCTGCCCCACGCAATTGCACATTTTTAGGACGACAACAAAGGCGAACAGGACGAAGCTCTTTTATTCAGCTCTGAGCTAGAAAAATTTCAAGTCAAGTGCCGGCAAGTCGCTGCTTTGTGAAAACGAGTCCTATTCAAGGCATACCAGGGAGAGGTGAGCTCCACCGTGAGCTAAGAACAAGCCAAACGAGAGCGAACCGAACATAAAATACCCTTGCGTCATGTTTTCAAACAATATTAATAATTCAATTATTTGTCTACCAATTGTTCCTAACATATATGAACTATATCAAAGTATTTTGATAGTATACTATTCATAAGTCAACAAAAAAGTAAAGACTGCTCTAGTCGAGCGTGCCCGTTTAGTAAATACCCTCTACACATGGCAAAGCGTCCGTAACCAACATTGGAGCTTCCTTTTAAGCATTCACAAAAACACAGACAAACACCGCCGCACGTAGTCCCATAGAAAGGCGTTCCTGAATTAGTTCAAAGTCTGATCTTCATAAAACTAATAGACCAGTTCCCTTAGAAACATCCAAAAACAAAAGGCAGCTATACAATTACACTGAATGGGAATGGAGAAATCTCCCACAGTGAAAACATATAAAATACCCTCGGCAAGGATTTGAGCACCACTCTAAACGGAATGTCAATGTGTCGATGATTACTATCAGAACATATTATTCGGTTTTGCCCCACGGTGGCATTGCCAGTGATGTAGTTGGAGTGTGCTACTTTGCGAAGAACTCACATTAATCTTTATTTTTATACCACAAAGATGAACGAGTGAAGATGGCCCAAGGAGGAGGAGGAGGAGGAGGAACGAGTACAAGTATCCAGTTTAAAACGTTTTTTTGTTTAGCGTTAGAGAGAGTTAGAAAGGGGGACACATATTTAGTAGGTCGCTCTCAAGAATCTTAAAGCTTAAGCCACTCGAAATACATTATATGGCTGCCGTTTTTTTTACGATTCTGCAGTTTATGACGCTTGTGAACAACAGGACGGAACTCTAAACATTCCCCCCGTAAGGGTAGTAAACAGTTTTTATATAAATATACATATATCAGCAGCGTGTTTCTAACATGCATACCGCTGATGAGAAGGAATCCGCTCAAGACATTAGGGCTGAAATGTTAAAGTTCGTTACAAAAGTATTTGGCAAATTTGGAAAAAGCTTTAATATCATGTGTTTTATAGACCTTTTAAATATCTAAGAAAAATTCTATATTATAGAAGAAATCCATTCAAGACATTAGGGATGAAATGTTAAAGTTCGTTACAAAAATATTTGGCGAAGTCTTTTTTATGGAATTTTAAAACATAACATATATGCTTTAAAATATCAAAGAAAAATTAATTGTTAAATATTGCACAGTCAAAAATTTAGTTTTGGTTTAACAATATTTATGAACTAGTTAAAAATCAATTGAAATATTAATAATAATAATCTTTTGGAATATTACCGAGCTCTGGCCTCGTCAACTGTTTTGTCGTTTCGTATACTCTGTTCGCAATAGTAAGAAGCAAGTGTATTGGGCTTGTGCAATATCTAGCAAAGTAGTTTGTGCAAACCGACTGCAACTTTCTTTCTTTTTTAAAGCCTCTAAAATCATTTTGAAATCTTAAAACACACGATTTCGACTGCACAATACTCTGTGCACTGTGTACGAACAGCTTACACTGACTATTTTCCAACTATGACTAGGAGATATTGATTTTGGCAATTCTTTGAGGCAGACTATGGGCGTGGCCACAATATTTATAGCCTTCATATTTCGAGGAGGTCACCAATAGTCCTCGTACCAAGTTTGGTGACTAGAACTCAAAATATGTAAGACAATATTTGGGTGTGCCCAAAAATGTTCAAACCGCGTAACACTCTATATTCTTGTATAGCCGAGTAGGTAATTATAAAGTTTCAAGTAACCCGCTTAAAATAGAGACGAAAAAAACCAACAGAAAAAGGGGTATTACGAAAGCTTATGCCACTCTTTTTTTCTTTGTGAATAAAGTATTAATGGAGCAGTTATTCTTACAGATTCAAATCAGACTTGTGATGTTTTCCGTATCGAACTGGTGATAAGTTTTTGCTCATGTGCTAGAGGCATGCTGCAGCTAGAAATCTCTGCAATTGGCTAAGATATTTTGAATACAAAATTAGTATAATCTAGTCTTAAAACCGAGAGATAAGTAAGGCTTAAGTAAAGCGGACGGTTCGGACGGCTAACGGACATTGCCATGTCGACTTAAGTTTAAGTTTAGCTAGAGTATATATATATATATATATATATATATATAAGTTCATCTCTACATATATATATATATATTAGTTTATCTAGAATATATATCCAATTTCCGGTCGGGGACAATTCGACACGATTTTATAATAATTAAAGATTCTTGCACTGCGATCTACTCAGATATTATGTCAAAAAAAAAGATTAAATTAAAAGCTAATTCTTAAAATTATTGCCTCATAATCAGTTTGATTTATTGAATTTGTTATTTACTTGAATTGTTCAGCTTTCCAGTTATTATGATTTAAATAATACATATTTTCACCAATCACAGGATTTATATATGTTCTTTAGTCGTAGCACTATTTTGATTTGTATTATATTTTATGCAAATCCTAAGTTTTTTATTTTTATTTTAAAAGTACACAAGCTCCTTTGGAATGCAAGTATTTAAGTACTAATGGAAATGGCCACAACTACCTAATTGTTTACTAAAATGCAAACAATTGAAACTTTCGGAAACACAATTAGATTTGTTGGCGCGATGCTCTGCTCTCAGCTCTTGTGTTTGCTTCTGCTTGTCCAGAGTCTGGCGCTGACCAACCGTGAGGATTGAAATCTGCTCCGCTACTGAGGCGGTCTCGTCCGCAATGCAATGGATGCTGCGTCATCTAGATGAAAGCTTTGCCTTTTGCCATAAACACACACAAGAGTCAATATTCTCTCCGCCTTTGAGCATGCGCACAGCATCCGTGTTTCTGTTTTGGGTTCAATTTTGGGCCATTTGCCGAGTACGAGTACGAGTTCGGGCCAGACGTGTTTAAAAATTACCCAAAACATTTACGTACAGCTGTTTGGCATCAGCTGGCGCGGCATTTGGACAACAAAAGGAGCTCAAAGGATACTCGCGTTGCAGTCATTTACCATTATTATTTAATTGAATTTGTATTACAATTTTATCATTTATTCATGTAATGCACAGTTTCTGTTTCAATTGTCTACGGTTCCTTCCGTTTCAAAGGTTCACTGAGGAGCATGCTTTTCATTATGCGACCTAATGTGTGGGTAATGCATACAAAAGTCCTAATGGATGCCCATGTGGGCGATGCGGGAGAGCATTGACGTCTGGTCTCGGCTTGCGCAAACATAATGCCAAGATTTTTTTTATGCTCGCTGCACATTTTGTGCAATCTCTGTCCGTCTAGTCGTTTGTCTATATGCATGTTATTTTCTTTTGCGCCGCCAATGAAGTCCTTCGTATGCAAGCTCCTGTAAATCCGCGTTAAACAAAGTGTTTAAATTGTTTGTTCAAGCCCGCCAGGGCGCTAGCTAGGGAGTCTACTTATGGTCTTTCCCAAGTCAATGCAAGTATCAGTTTAAACCTTCAAATTTTCACAAATTTCATACTTAGAAGGGCTTTCTTCTTCTGTATTCGTTAACAGCTATCAGAAAGGCGAGTAGGACTTTTAAGGCTTGCAAGTATGTATAATAACAAAGAAAAAAGTACATCATTTAATGAGACCAGCTGTCCCGCTGTTTGCCTGCAATCGAAAAGTTTATTAATAACAAACACGAGCTGGAAAACCAGGCAGCGCTTTTCCGGTCACGTTAAAACAAAGTAATTCATAAATTTTAATTAAATTATGAGTGCAGCCCGCAGAGTGAGTGTAATTATATTTAAACAGCAGCCGAAATATGTTTTTATATTAAATTGAAATAAGCGTAAGCGACCTAGTCTAGTGTAACCGGCCATGAGATACCCTGCACCCTTGAATATAATTTGTTCAAAGGTTTAGGGCTTTATCTTTAAACGCATTTGATGCAGATCAAGAATAGATATACTTTATAGAAGCAGAGATGCTCCCTCAGCAATACACCCCTTTTCAGAGCGTACAGGGTATAAAGTGGAAAAAACCGCCAAACCAGAATCGAGAACCAAGCCCCAGCGGCGGGCAATATGCTCGACGTAATCCGCGTGGTATTCGTAATGTATGCTTCTACGGAGCTGCTCATGTAGTGCATTATACACCAACAAAATCAACGTTATGCAAATTTAAATTTAAGCATAATGGAGTAAGGGACTCACCGTTTTTAGACCCATAAGGAGGGTATTTTAATTTGCTCAGCAAATGTGTAACACATGCAAGTGCTAACCGATAAAGTATACAAATTTTTGATCAAACTTAAAAATATACTCAATATATCGTGTTCGCCTCTCTGTTGCATTAAAAATACTTTTAGCTTTAAAGTTGTATATTGTCCACCTTTTATTTCCATGGGTGCATTAATCGGAGTTAGCCAGATTAGGCGGATATATTTTAGAAAGAATCGGATGTTTTTTTATGAATCTTTGCATGACTCAGTACAGTAATGTAGAACTCTACTTTATGTTCGTAAGGGTCTTCAATCTTCGGTCAACCCGAAGACAAAAGATTATTCTTGCTTGTGCATAGAGTATATTTTCTATTCCCTTGCAGCTATATCAACATGTATGGGCGTGCTTGTGTTTCCAGCAAACAACAAATATTTGTAATGAGCCTATTAAGTCATATTAAAGCCTAAGTACAGCCAATTTTATTAAAAAAAAAAAAGCAAGCAACACACAATTTTACACACATGAAAAAGTTTTTAAGCCCCGGCTACATATGCGCACACATTGGGCAATAAAGGTAATGCAAATTGCTGCCAAAATGTGGATATTATAAATTAGACCGTCAGCTGGCTTAACAGCAGATGAACTGAAAAGGCTCCTCTGAGCCAACATGCATATATTAGGCCCTGGATTTTAGTTATGGCACACGCCATGTGCCTTACTTTTACCCGAACATATTCGTATAAATTAATTATTATTATTAATTAAAAAGGACGGCAATTGTCAATCTAACTATCTGAAATGGAGGTTCATTTGAATTACAGGTTATTCATATTCTAAGCACTGATCGAGTTAACCAGACTGGAGTGGGGGTATGTAAGGGCGAGTATATGTTTTAGGTGATTTGAAGCTTATTTAAAGGGTATCTCGTAGGCTAGCTTAGAACTATCAAGCTGCAAATCTTACAAAATTATATGTGTCACAAATAAAATTTGTTTCCTATACAAATATATGTATATATAATTTGTCGGCCGAACAGAACTAACAATTCAGAGTGCTCGAAATATGTCGCTACTTAAACTATTGCAAATCCAGCTACCCTTTGCAAGTAGGTCCTTTGCACTAATCCACACTGAAGATTTGCGAACTTGTTTATTTTAGAAGAGAATCTCAATATATATGCAGCCGCCAGACTGATCCGCCCTTTACTGAGGAGTCCCATTGCGCAAGTTGTCATTTCCTTTGCGGTGGGCTATTATGCAACTACGAAGCTTGCCCAGATTTATGCACTATTCACAAGGCAAGCTGATAAGAGTCCCTCGAAAATGGACTATCCTTCACAACTGGCCACTGATTGCCGGGACAGCCAAGCTATTCTCAGAGACCGACTGCCTCAGAAGCGTGAGGCTCTGCGGCTCACCCGTCGACAGTTGACGGCCTACGACGGAATGCGAGACAGCCAACCCATATACACGGCGCTTAATGGTAACATTTATGACCTCAGCTCTTCGCGAGATACTTTTTTGGGGCCCGGGCCCTACTCGCTGCTGGCAGGCTGCAATGCCAATCATGTGCTTAATATTGCATGCGGTTCAATGGGCGTTTGTACCGACGATGTCCTTCAAAGATGGGAGCGTAGTCTGAACGCCGAGTTCCATATCATTGGCTACTTGACGGACAGCGAAGGGTCCGAAAGTGACGACAGTGAAAGTGACGTCTCAACTCTTGTGAGTAAACGCAGTCAAGAGCATCAGGATTCTAATCACGAATCCAATTATTGTTAGGGTCCGCATTTAAGTTGGCTTTTTCCTCAAACAAACCGCGTCGAAATAGTGGTTAGAATAAAATAAACTAAAATCAAATAAAATTAAATATAACATACAATAAGTTAAGTTCAAAAAGGTATAAAAGTCTGCTATCGAATCTAGGATGGCAAGCCGCTCATATCCTATTCCAAGCTTTAATTTGTTGAGAATTGCAAGCGTAAGCAACAACCAAAATAAGAGAAAATATCTGAGCTTATATTTTAAGCGTGAAACAGCTTGCGTTAGGCTTGCAAACATATACCCTATATCAAGCTTAAACATGTTGAGAATTGCAAGCGAGCTAAAATAAGCGAAAATATCGGATGCCTTTTATTGCTGTCTTCTCTGATATGCTTACGTATCGTTCCAATTTATCTGCCTTGTCGTTATGTGTTTCGATTCGTAAATATTTATCTGAGGGCTAGTCATTCTGCTAGTGAAACGTGAACTGGTAAAATTAGTTTAAAAGAGGATTGCAAAGGGTCATGCTTTTGTAAAATTCCGCTCAGTTATTGAAGCCTGAAGCGCCATTTAAGCTCTACAATTGGCTGACTGCAAGGCATGTGGTCCAAATGGTTTTCCATTGAAAAGAAAATGTCGCTGGTGTCGGCGACATCAACAAATTCTGCGTTTTTTGTCACCTCGGGCAAACTTTTCAGTTGTGCCAAATTCTCAATAGAGAAAAATTGAATTGGTAAACGAACTGAAGCGGGGCAGGTGTTACAAGGAGGGGCCATCAAAACCATCAGGTGCTACACAGCTAATAAAATCAAAATTACTTTTTCGCAACAACAATGAGACCTATCGGGCGCAGCTACGTGCTTAAGGAGTTGTAACAAAGTTGTCCAAAAACTTTGAGCACACACTTAAAAATCAGCCAAATGTACAAAAACTCAACACGCAAGGCACACAACACGCAACTTGGTTCTAAAGACCGAGATATCTTTGATAAGCAAAGACCAAATGTTATTCGATGTGTTAATTTCGATTAAATTTAAAGCTGTCAAAGCAATGAAAAATACGAGAAGATACCCTGCAATCATACACTGCTCCATATGGAATCCAAAGCAACCAAGGCAATAAGTAAGAGCTTTTAGTCGAATGCTCAATACTCTTTTTCAGAGTGTAACGAAGACGAGCGTCTGTGTGATCATTGGGATATTGACTTTGTCAGGTGAGTCCTAAGCTAGTACCTTGAAAAAATAGATTTTGGCAGTTAAGCAGAGGCAGCGGTGGGCCAGAATATGGTATTTTAATCTTTAAACAAAAGTCTAATATTATATAAGGTTTGTTCGATATGTAGATATTTAAAGTTCAAGATTCTAGCTTCAAAAGTCTCAGTCAACAAGACGGACCAATTAACTCTTGTTCACTTTGCAAGCAGGGTATTCAAATAACTAGCAAACTCTTGTTCACTTTGTAAGCAGAGTATTCAAACAATTTCTGCAATTAAGCAATGTCTCATATCAAAGTAAACATTCAATTTGAGACGATAATCACACACGACGAGGACCAGGACACCAGACGCTTGCGGACTGCCGACTGCGTTGCTAACGACGCCCATTGTTACACGTCGGGAATACAAATACCTAATTAACCGCGAAACTGGGGATTCCAACAGCCAGGCTATGCCTAAGCCTGGAGAGTGAGCCTGGAGAAAAGCCAAAGCCCGCCCAGCCTCCCCGTCAGGTTTATGTGACAGACGCAGCTGTGCTCGACTTTTGCAAATAACACGCTTTTGAATATAAAGTGCTCAAATTACATGGGCAAACACATTTGTAATTTGTAATTAGTTGCGCCATGCGAATATGCTGAGAGTTAATTTCTTGTCTGGGATCTGCCTGGCCCAATAATTTGAAGGGTGAACATTTTTGGTCACATGCTCGGCTTTCATCTTTAACGCTGCCAGTTCGGCTATTTGTGCCAAAAATCTTCGTCTCAGGATTTTCATCTGAGTAAATTTTATCAAGGCACACGAACATGCAAAGCATACACACTTCGCAACAACTTTATACGACAATTAAGGCCTGACTTGACTTTTTATATGTTATTTTTAAATAATCCAAGTTTTATATTCTCTGCCATAAAATCAAATCCAAGGGCAGATTCTATAGATGAATACAGCTTAATATAAAACTAATACTAGCGGGTATTCCCCGGACTTGTCTGTGACAAATTTTGTGCTCAAAGTTTAGATAGAACCTTTTTACCCAGTTCCCGCCTGTCCAAAGTTAAAATCTACCATTTAAAACTGCAATTCTGTCGGAAAAAGTAGCTTTAGTTAATTAAGCCTAATAAAACCCGCCATAGTCTCAGGTCGTAGTCATCAAAGTGTTGGTCTACCTCAACTTCCCTTTGTGGCTGGGTATTATTATGCTGGCAAACCTCGTAGCCTCATATTATCATAGATTTTATCAGGTATCGAAGTATAGAACATACCACACATTTGCTATATGTCATCGAGGGTATTAATCTTCAGTAAATAATTTCTTTTATTCAGCCACTCTAGAGGTTGTAGGTACGTGTTATTGATTCGCCCTGGTCTATTTCCCTATCACTCATCGCATTAGTTGACTCCACAGTAAGCATACACAAATTAATTCATTCAGTTAAAATGTGGCCAGCTCGTCGCACTTGGCGTCAGAACTTCGCTCGGTTAAATCTTTGGGCGACACTTTACGGATCTTGGGCACTCGGTCTGTTCCCATTCATCTATAATTCCAGCACGAAGAAACTGCGACGATCCACGTGGCTGATTGGATATGGCATCATTTTGCATCTTGGATTTGTTTGGGTTACGCTCAACTATCAAACAGAAACCGAAACCACAGCCCTGATTGAGGTATTCCATCGGAATCCTTTGGCAGAGCAAATCAGCTATCTACAAAACCTTCTACTTTTGGCAACCGTTTTTGTGATGCACTTTCGGAACTGGTGGCTCTCCGAGGAGCTTGCCAGTACTATTAATACGCTTACAAGTCTATATCAACGACACCTTAATCAACTAGACTTTAACGATTGTCTCAGCTTTGACAATTACATTATTTATAAAGGCTTATCGATTTGGTTGGAAGTCGCTTCAGTGTTCGTCATGCGATATGGACTGTCGCCTCCCATCAGCTTTAAACTCTTTTTGGGTCTAGTCGGTATCATGGCAGTTCAGATAAGCATGCTTCTAATTGGGATGCACTTTCACCTGGCCGTATTGTACATATATCGCTCTGTTTGGATCGTCAATCGGGAACTTCTTACGCTGGCAAATCGTCTAAGGATGTGTAACATAAGGAGATCCCCTCGTGTTCAAGAACTGCATTGCCTTTATAGGCGCCTCTTGGGGCTAAGCAATCGACTGGGTGCTCTGTACGACTGCCAAATGACTCTTTTCATGATATCCCTACTAAGTGTCAATATATTATCCGTATTCTATATGATTGTCTACTGTATTAGTTTAAAGAAAATATTGACGTTCGCGCTGGCAATCAACTTTACTCAGGCGCTAGCCATTAATTTGATGGATTTCTGGTTGAGTATTGCGGTCTGCGACTTGGCAGAGCGACAAGGTCGAGGAACCTCAGCTATTTTAAAGCTATTCAATGACATACCTGAACTAGAGATAGATCTAGACCGAAGTGTAAGTAGATGTTTTTTTTAAATATACCTTAACTGAGACTCTTCTTTCAGATCAACGACTTTGCCCTATTATGCTGTCATAGACGTCTAAGATTTAACCATTGCGGCTTGTTCTATGTCCATAACGCAATGGGATTTCGAATGATTGTTGCTTGTGTACTGTATTTAATCTACTTGGTTCAGTTCGATTATATGAATTTGTAACGCCTCTAAATTGTATTGTTCCCAATTTTTAGAATAGAGCTATCGGGTATCGATGCGATTAGGGAGGAGATCTTAGGAGAGGAGACCTTGGCTACAAGATTCCTGTCCGTACCTACACAGAATTTAAACACTATGAAAATAATCTGGGTTTTACTCAGCTCCTATGTTGTTGTTAGGTTTAAGACATTAACTACATAAGGAGATAGATTTGGCTAGAATTCAGGAACTACTGCTAAAGTGAACAGGCTCGTGCAGTAGCTAGACTGCAAACAGGCAAAGGAAACGCAAGAGCCTTTCCAGGCTCCCCTTATCTAACCCTATGAACTGTGACCCCTATCGTGCTGCAAGCCAAGAGGTCAACTTTGGAAACCATTGGAGGTGCAAGCGAGAGCATCATCAGGTGTTGGAAGACGAAAGTCTAGGGTATCTCCGGCTACGCCCAAGGCCTTGTTTATGGATAAGTAGTTCCAAGACTGTAATCCCAGCTGTGACTGCGACTAGGATGATTTTTATGATATATGAAAGCCAGAGTGGGCGTAAAAATTACAAAATTTATTCGAAAAATTGCTTATTAGCGACTCCTTGAAATTCCTAGAAATTCCTTCAGTTAAAGCGAGAAATCAATAACTAGACGGCGCTGTCTTCGCTTGCCGAATGCTACGGCAACAACAAAAGCTGTCCATGTTGCCTGACAATGTCATCATGTTGACAGACATTGTCAACATGTTGCTTACGCCAGGCAACATTTATAGCGCTCTCTTGGCGTTCAAAGTGCCACGCCGCTCTCAGATAAACTTCAGGAAAGCTTTGGCAACTATCAACTGCATGCTCCACTGGCATTTGTAAACATTTGTTTGGTTGCCAAATTGTTGTATTGCGACTTTGTGGAGCCAGACAGTCGCAATAGCGCCATGTGTGGGGATGGTCAGCAGTGCTGCCAATTGTATATTATATTAGAGGGTATACCCCGGCCTTGCCTGTGGTACGTATAAAATGAACAAGCAAAGAGCCAAATCTCGTGGAAATCGGATGAGATTTGACCGAGTTATGGGGAAATTTCGACCATTGTCTATAATAGGATATTTGAAATGACACCCAATTTGAGGGTACAATTTTGACCAAGAATAATGTGTCCAGTTTTGGATGAATTGATCTCGAGGCCAAACCATGAACAAAGATCCAAGCCACGTTTAAATCGTATGAGATTTGACCGAGTTATGGAGTGGGAAATTTTGACCTATGTCTATGTAGGATACAAGAATAATGTTGCCAGCTTTAGATACCACATTGATGTTATATATATGTATGTATGTTTATATGTATGTATATATGTATGTATATATACATGTATGTATGTATGTACGCATGTGTATATATATGCATACATGCATTAATGAATAAATGAATGTATGAATGTGTTAATTTATGTATGGATGAGTGTATATGTGTGTGTACATGTGTTTGTACATGTGTGTATGTGTGTGCGTATGGGTATGTATGTATGTATGTGCGTATATCTGTATGCAAGTAAAAAATACCAATAGCAGACCAATTTGTCTTGTTGTGCGGCAAATTTAAATAAGAAAACGTATTTATTACAGCTGCCCTCCTCCTCGATTCTCAAAAATGTAAGTAAGCCCGGCGGCTTCAACGCTGGAAGCTAAGCAGCCGGAGGAGCACCAAGGGGGCGGAGCAGGAGGCGCAGGTATGTATGTTTGTATGTATGTATGCATGTATGCATGTATGTATGTATGTATGTATGTATGTGTATGTATGTATGTATGTATGTATGTGTGTATGTGTGTGTGTGTGTGTGTGTGTATGTATGTATGTATGTATGTATGTATTTATTTATGTATGTATGTATGTATGTATGTGTGTGAGTATGTATGCATGTATGTATGTTTGTATGTGTGTATGTGTGTATGTATTTTTGTGTGTACGTATATATGTATATATATATATATATGCGGATGGCTCCAGTCCTTCGCGCTATGTGTGGACAGTGGAAGACTCGAAATACCTCTTTAACGAGCTTGATCCCAAGATGATGATTGGAATACGATACACGTCTTCTGCTGCGCAAAATAATATGCCTTGAACTCTTGAAGTCTAGATCGACTCGGTTGTTTCTACTCCCAGTTTGTGAAGAGAAGCTATGCAACAAGCAAAACTATATACTTTTGAATGACAGCCAATTACTGAATTAGGCAAATATTAAATTGCTTCCGGAATATGTTTCACGCAATTGGACTCAGGGCAATAGATTTTTAAGCGGCTTTACATTTAATTTGCAGACTTATGCGTCAACATGGGTATCGCAGCTCCTTGAGCTGCCAAAAACGCTGAACTATAAGGATTAGCAAACTGCAGACTTAGGCGGAACGCGCGCAGAAAATTCAGAGACCACAAAAAAACAGCATCATTTTACTTAAGCCTGGGAGGAGCATAAAATACGCTACGCAAGCGGAAAATGTTGTCAGATTTTCAAACGTAGCCTGTTTTTTTCTTCCATAACTCACACTTTTTCAGCCTACACTTCACACAGTTGGACAAAATTTGGGGTTGGTGAGTCTAGAGTCAAGCGACCTTCAAGACGGCGACCTTCAACCAAGATTAGGCTGATAAAAGGGGTGAGCTTTGTAGCGGAAAAATACTCTAGCCTAGGCCGTACCTACTTGTACGAGGACCTATAAAATAATTTTATTAATTCGGCTCCAACTCGCTCATTTGAAGTTCGGCTGGTTTACTCGATTTACTCATTCATGCAAGCGAGTATTCATTGTATTATTGTATATTCCAAGTGTTATCAACGGGGGCATTCTGATATATACCTTTTATAATAAACTTTTAGGGTATTACCAGGTATTACCAGACATGGTCGGGTTGTAGGCATTCTTAATGAATATGAACATCTGAAACTTATTGCTTCCATTAGTCATTTTTGACTTGAAAGGCACCTGAATCATTTAATTAATCACATTTAAGCAGACTTAATTCCTAATGCCCACACATACCAACCCAGCGGGAGTTGGAGCAAATCACGTTAAATGGGACGTTGCCACCGGTCTACGTGACCTAATCCTGGTGCATTCCAGATCAGGCTCGTGAAGGAATCAGACCGCACATAGATCTGCCCCACAAGGACAACTACAACAACGGCATTAAGCACCACATATAGTTCATCAAAACAGACAAGCCTCATTCCAATGAAGTCGCCGTCGACGGGCCAGGACAACAGCAGGACAACAACTGCACCGTCTTCTCCGAGAGCCCTCGCTGCCGGGAAGCATTCATCAGTATTTGCGTCACGCAGCGCCCAAAGGGCTGAGGCTTACGCTGAAGCTAAACCTGCCGGCTGGGGACTGCGAACAGCCTGTTGTGGATGTATGTTGACATTTCAATGACAGTTGCGAAAATTGTGAAAATGAGTTCGGCTGCCATTTTCCGCTGCGGTTTCCACTTTCCACTTTTTCCGCGCAGCCTTTGTAAATTTATGCAATTTGATTATCGCGGACAGATTGTCGTGGGTGACTTAAATGCTTGGTCTGCTTTCGGCCTTAATGCAGTCGGCACATTGTTACTCGAGGTTCTACCCGACTGTGTCATACTCTGTTCGCAGTGTAATTACCAATAGAAACCCTTCTCTAAGCTTGATACTCTAGGAAATACTCTAGGAAATCCCCCCACTAGCCTCCAACTTTAAAGGACATCAATCATAACTTGAGGCTATTCCCTGTTTCAACAGAAAGACGAACGGATAGCAGGCACGACATTGCAAGTCACCAATATACTCACTTTCCTTTGTGTACAAAGGGTATATTGGCCGTGTATGTGAACCATATTGATACAGACTTGACATAACAATCATAGGCAACATGAGTCGCAAATCTTACATCTTCTCCGTTAAGAGGTTCGTAATATTGTGACGACACATTAAAGAAAAAAAATTTATTTACAAGCGCAATAAGTTGTTTGTGCGTTAAAGCTGAATGGCGGGCTCGATATGAGGTAACTTTACGTTGTCGCTGCAGGGCTGCCCCAAAATATCCTCCAGCATGCGATTCAAGGACTCCGAGCCCAGCGCATAGCCTGCCTTGTCCACGGCGCCAATCAATAGCGTTTGGTTTTCCAAGCTCTTATCGTCGCTACTAAGAATATTTTGCAATGCCGCGTTTATCTGCTCAGATCCCATTATGTATGGCTTTTCCAGTTCAGTCTGAACTGCCGATGTTTCCATACCACCTGCCATGGGAGACCTGTGCTCTTCATTGGCTATTTTCCAAACGCGCATCGATTGTGTGCCTAACAGCAGACCTGCACAAACGCCTATCAGCCACTCGAAAACCGGCTTCATAGTTCCAAAATTTTAAATGTAAAGCATAAAGTTTTTGTATATTGTATTATTTCCTTGTATGTATGTGTGTGTAGCCTACTTATAAAAAGCAATTTCTATATTAGTATATCTTGTACCTCGGAGTCTGTACTTTTTTTACCGTTTCAAAGTTCAAAAGCGGTGGATCGGGTTGGTCTGCAAACGCAAAATCAAGCAAAAAAAAAAAAACAGAGTTCAATTACCAAAGCAAGCAACAACAAATCAGCTGCAAAACAAGAACAGAACGCGAGAAACACCATTTTTTTCGTCTTCCGTATTGATCACCAAGATGCTTGTGTGCGATAACGAAGACATAGGAAACTTAGTGCAAAGAAAAGGGACAAATAATGCCACTGTGTTTTTTGCGGGTTTCTCTGTCTTTCCTGGAAGGCAGCGCTTAGAAACAACAACCACACGATTTTTGTTCTAATGTTGTTGCAGAACCGCGTCCCGGCGCAAGTAGGTAGAAAATTCGAATGCCAGCAGGCCATGGCATTCAAATCAAAAATTATGACGTCACATTTCAGAGTTTTATTTCTTGTGTTGTTTACCATATATTTATATCTTTGCAATGTGAATTTAAATAATTTATTAATAGGGTCTTTTATAATTATTAATTTATTTAAAAATTTACTAATTAACTGTTCACAATAATCGCACACAGGGAGCCTTCAGCTGTGACGTCACAAGTGCAATAGAATGTTGCAATCTTCTTAAATTCATAAACTTCCCTTGGCTTGGCAGACACATACATGCATATTTACACCTAAATGTGTGAGTTGAGACACACTTTGATACTCTTTCCTTTTATAGAAATGGTATATTATGTTTAAAGAAAACAATTATTATTGATTGTACTGATAGTTGCACACTAAATACGAAATTATATTATATTAATATTACGAAATTATATATATTTAGAAAACACAACTTCCCTTGGAGACATTTTGTTTTACGCCTAAGATATCGCACAAGCGACTGGTAGTTCGGATAGAATATCCCATTATATGAATTTCGTCAAAGTTTCTTGTAAAGAACTGAGTCTTTAGTGGGGTTAGTTTACTATTGATTTTGTAAGTATACCACACATACCTTCACGTTCAATTTAAACTTTAAAAAAGGAAGACTGTCAAGGAGTGCATACTTTTTGGATGAATATAAAAAATACTGTAGTAAGATCAAGGGAGGTAATCAATTTATTTTTATTTAACCCATTAATTTATCTATATTTATAACTTTACGAGAAACACCGACAACAAGATCGTCTTTGCAGTGCAGATAGACCAGAATCAGAAATTGTGTGTGAGTATTATTTGTTGTTCTAATTTTAGATTTTAGAGCTCTTGTGGTAGTATTATCGGGTTTATTGTTACCAGGTTGCCGGACATTTTTAGCAAGCCGATGCGATATTTCCATATTTCGTATCGATATTTATTAATAAATTTAAATTCTGTTGTAAATTTTGTAATTTTATATATCAATAAATATATATTCGCCCACTGATAAACCCGGCAAATATATATAAAGTACAACCTTTTGTTAAGCTATTTTTTGTTACTTGTTGTTTATTCAAAATGTTATTCGACGAAATGTATTGTATATATATTCCATATTCCTTTATTAGGTATTATCATTTTGACCAATCCGGCTATTTTTGAGTTTATCTTACATATGCGGAAAATCTTATAACCACCGAAATATTATTTTTCTAGTCCTTTTAAAATCAGATTATAAGTACCATACATACATTTTTTTATTATAAAGTTTATTTATCAAATAATTATTCTCTTATTATTGCTATATTAATTCTTATTATTCTATACTAACTATTTTAAAAGCAACAGAAAACATAAAACAATCGATTGCTTTAAAATGCTTGTGCATATCTTAAAACAAGTTGGCAGGGTATTGTGGAATATGCTGGATTGCTAGAAGAAATTAAAGGGTGCAATTTATTCATTGTTATTTAAGAGCCCGGGAATGAAGAAAATAGAAAACCAGGTAAATGAGGCTTTCACAAAAACATAGGATTTGCAAAAAACCAGTTTTCGTTACCCTTCTTTTACTGGTTTGAAAGGAAATGGTGTCAAACGCAGGTACTACATTTGGTAGCGTCGCGTAGCAATACGTTTCGTCGCTGCGAGCGCAGCTATAAAAGCATCGTCATTCTGGTGGTTTCTCGCATTTCCCTTTGAAAAGTCGTGCTGAATGGACGTGTGTTTTTAAACGTTCTGTGTCTGGAAAGTTGTATAACCAGATAGTGATTTAGCGCGCTGGCTAACTATTCAGCAGCAAAAAAAGGTGTGTTTGTGTGTGTGTGTGTATAAAAAGAAAATTTTTGTAAAGCGTCGTACAAAATGGTTGCATATTATGATGATTCAGATGGTGTTGAGCAGCCCAAAACGTTGACATATTGGGTTCGAAATTTTCGCATGAAGCGCATGCAAATGCGTCGCAAATTGCGGGGCTCTGGAAGCCTGCGCGTTAACGCCATTTTGTCAACGGCGCTTTTCCAAGCTGAGCATGAACTGCGCAGGAAACAGCAAGAACGATTCAGTCGTTGGCTCGACGTCCAAACGAAATTAATTCCACACAGCAATACGCACGAAAGCAACTTCGACGAAAAATTTCATCATGCCTGTGACGTCGATGTGGAGAAAGAGACGGCCGAATGCGAACGACGCAATATTGAAAATAGCTTGTGGAGAAGCGAGCTAAGTGGCCTCGACAGATTTTTGAGCAGTTTAAGCAGCAGCAGCAGCAATAAAAACAACAATAACATAAGCCAGTGCGCCATTGCTGTGAACAGTTAGTTAAAAAGAGACAACCCTATAGCACTTGGGTATTGGAGAAGTGTGTTTAAGCTTAAAATGTCGTGAACAACTTGTTTTTCATTTCTTTGATTTGATAATTTGTTAAATTAGTTTTATTACGAAAGAAATTTCTCATTTGCAGTCGCAAAACGTGTGCAAACCTGTTATACATACATAGATTGTAAAGAAAAATGTGAAGGCTGTGAAGAGTGTGATATGAAGAGGACGAGCAAATGGCCTTCGTAAGCGAATAGTGTGAGTCATGGGAGACTGCCGTATGTCAACGCTCACCAGAAAGAAGCCTTTGGTCCGGAATTCACACTCGGTTTGTAATTTATCCTATCAATTAGTTGTAACTTAGTTAATACTCTCTTTCCGGAAGTAGCGAACATTTCCTAGTAAGCAAAAAATAATTTTTAATAGTTGCTAACTGAGGGTTGCATCGCACAAAGGCACGAATACCTGCATATGTGTGTATATTAACGACGCCATTTTGGTTTGTGTGTATACATAAATGCTTGTGTGCATGCATGTGCGTAGGTATACTGACAAGGCTATTGCTTAACGGAAAAGACGCAGTTGCGTGTGCATACATACGTATACATATATTCATATAATATATGTGTGTATGTACATGCCTTTGTTCTCTTTTCTGTACATAAGTATATCTTGTATGAATCTGTCTGCTATTTTTACGTATTAACAACAGTGCGTCCGCTTGTATGATTCATATTGAATCGAAAAATAGTTAAAAGAATTTTGAGGTTAAACTTTCACACATACTGCCATGATTAGCATGTTGCGAAAAACTGTATATAGAAAAACTACTTGGAACTGATTAATATATATGTATGTTAACATAAATAAAACTATACTTGATGTAATTTTGAAATCAGTGTTGCCTTTATTATTTGCACTTATAAATCACTTTGTCGTAAACATATTCCTCTATAATAGATTTTGTTTTACAGTTTTCCTGCTCCTCGAAACGTTAATGGCAACGATGAGGAGGAACGGAACACTTGACAAACTACCGCATCAAGAAAGAAATCGAACCGACACACAAACCAACCAATCGATGGGCAAATCGTCGGTACCTACCATCGCGCGTCAGTCAATAATCGTTTCAAAGAATTTCGTTTCTATAACTGAGTGAGTCTTCACGTCTGTCCGTCTTCCGTCAACCACAATGGCAGCGACTTGCAAGCCAGCCGATCCTACACAGTTCGCAGCGGCAGCAGCAGCAGCAGCAAACACCACCGAGTCTCCCTTGCCCAAAATGCCAGATGAAGCTGACAAGTAAAATGGGGACAAGGCGGAATTGCGCGCGGCAGCAGCAGCAGCAGCAGCTTTAGCTCAACAGCAAGCAAACACGTGTGTGCCTTATGCCTTCTGGTCGGTTACCATCACAACTATCACTACCTACTCTACATAAAGCGGTCAGCAGTTGCTGACGGCGCATCCACCACCAACCCACACAGATATCTCTGCATACACGCTCGGTATTCGTATATCAGCTGCGAACGCAAAAACAATTACTTTTTAAAACAGATTTACAGCACAAGGAGCGCGAAAGAAAGCATCCATCAACGTCGTCATCATTGGAATTTCTCTTAAATTACACAGTTATCTTGAAGGTCTGACATCGTCAACGTCTTCCTCTTCACTTTGGGTTCGTCGTATTTTCATCTCTTTTCTTCGCTTTATTCTGGTGGCACGTAAGCCGTATCGAATTTTTCTCCTTGAATAACTCTTGAATTACAGTCATAATTGCAAAGCAGTCGGTTCTTGCACAAGTCTACAGATTGATAGAGGAGTCATAATCGAGCACACTTGCGTTTTATGAGTCTATGCGTCGCTCATTATAGGAAGAAGTTTGAAATTTTAACCCAAAATTGTTACGCATAAATACGTGGGCTTCAATTTTTTTGTAGCGATGCGTCACAGTTGAACAGTGCCTGTGAGCGTCGGATTTCATCAGCGGGACCTCGCATCCTTTCTAGGCTTTGCACTCATGGGGTGTCGAGAGTGGAAGATCAACCACAGAGTGTCGTCTACCGTTTAACAAGCAAGCAATATGGATGCACCCAAACTTTATCCTATTGTCTAGGAAAAAGACTATTTTTCGTTTATTATATTTTTAGAGAAGCGGCGCAGTTGAACGGTGCCTGCGTGCGTCTGTAAGGAAGTTATCAAGAAAATATGTCGATGAGATATCGCAACCATCAAATTTCCTATCAAATCATTGCAATTTTTGTGGGCTGCTCAATGTCAGTACGCCAGGAGCACAAGTCGAGATAATCAAATGGCAAAGCGTAACTCGTTTGTTATTCTTAACATGCACAAAATGTTGCGTTTGTTTCTCTTTTAGAATATTGAGCCCATGATATAGATGCGCACAATCACAAACGATACACAATGTCTGTTGAAAAAGAGCTGAAACCATGAAACTAATTACAATCTTTGCCGGATCGGATAGCGTAACTTTTACATTTAGTACTCTAATAATTTGGCTCTTGTAGCCAACTACAAACTATGATCGTACACTTGTTTATGATTTCCAGCCATGGACTGGCTGCACAGCCTATATCTAACGAGAGCGAGGTGGATTTGTTATCCTGCACGTAATGTTCGGAGGATCCTGTTCAGAACTATATAGCAGAGAGAATCAAACGAGAAAAGCGTAAATTTTGAGCTTATCCACACAAAAACATATCTTTTTGTATTTTATAGCAATATGACGCAGTTGAACTGTGCCTGCGCATATTGGAATTAGTTAGACCCATAAATTGGGCAATACTTGTAAGAGTTCAGCGAGGAAGCGTCATCTTAAAGGATTTTCACGTAAACTATTCGAATTTCCCTGTGCACAAATCTTCCTTTTTCGTATCTTGTAGCTATAGATAACCACAGTTGAATGTGCCTGCGCATATCTGTCGGTAGCTGCTTCCCAATGATAAAAGGGCAAAAAGGGACCGTTTCGGCGAAGAAATCAAGATTTGGTTCTTTACCGGTGGAAACCAACCCTCTATAATCGTCAACTGCAAAAACGGATTTGTTACTTTTACTTTTTCTTCCCCTAGCTTATTTTCTAAGCATATGTATTAATTGCAGTGGTTGCGTTTTTGGTTGATGTTCGGATGTTCAAAAACACACATTAACTCCAATGAATACCTGTAGCAAAATTTGTTGAGGCAATGGGAATCAAATGCCAACTTGAAAGCAATAAAATACACCGATACGAACCGAATTCCAACATCTATGTCGATAAACCGAACTTTTGTCAAGGTCAGCCCGACACTGAATACATCTTGAATTGCTTAAACCTGTTTTACAGCCAAGTGAAAAGACGATACTGAGTACTCGAATAATACCTTCAGAAAGGCAGCAAACACAGCATCTTTTTTAGAGCGAGGATAATAGGCCTGCCCCCCACGTCTGTCACTTCGGATTCAAGTCAAAGCGTGAGACATTTGTGTTCGCTTATTATTTGCTTTGCACTTTCACTTTTGCAGCGATGCTTTGCTTGTGCGCATATACTTTTTACTGCCAATTGCGTTTTTGGGACCGGTCTGGAAGCGACCGATGTACACAAACAAACCACCTTTTCTCCATCTCCAAACTACTACTAGCTATCACACTGCAAAATCGTTAAAGGGAATCAAGAACGATACATCAAGTTCATCCAGCTAGGCAAATCGTCAAGCAATGCCAGCACCAACACCACCACCACAACAACAAAATATGTTACAGCTGCCTTGATGGCCAGAGAGTCGCAGATCTCTAAATAGATCGATCGATCGCTCGCTCACAACGTACAATGTACAATTAACGTTTTTACATTACAGAAAACGTAAGCTGCAAAATAATGGCTGTGTTGGGTGGTTGGCGCTCTGGCGCCACACAGACAGATCCTGCACTCACAACCCATCCACTTGAGCGGAGCCAGACTCTGTTCTCTCTCCGCCGAGGAGGCATCACAGCCTAGCTCGGCCAGGCCAGCCTGGGTCAGCTCAGCCAGCAGCACGTAATGCATTGCACCGCATAGAAATATGCGCTCGGTCCGCGCTAAAGGGAAACAAATGCGTTTGGACCGAGACCCGCCACACCACAAAAACACCAGCAGTCGCTCAAGAGGCGAGCTGATGTGTTGTCGTTGTTATCGGGCAGCTGCCTGCAAGTACGCTACGTCATGGTCGCATCAGCGTCGCCGCCGCCGCCGCAAGTTTCCTCGCATCCAGCATTTTGTGTGTGTGCACATCATGTATGTATTTGTAGTATGTAGTAGAAGCAGTTGAGCCAGCTATAACGACCCGACCTATGGAGCTCGTGGCTTATCGCAAAAGGGAACCAAATGCGACTAGTATTCAAGCAGCAGAACGAAGAGCTGTGCAGCAACAGCAGCAGCAGCAGTCGAGGCAGACAGACGGCGGCTTTCAATGGGCAGAGAAGACGGCGGTGGTATTCGAAATCAACTGGTTTTATAAACTGTTGCAAATTATCCGCTCATTCTCACTCCACTTCCTAGGTAGCACACATGTTTTAACAGAAAACTCCGGTTATCAAAATCCATCGCAAAGGGAATCAAATGCGATTAGTGTTCGATGACGAAGAAGCTAGCTAGTCAGACCAGCTCTACGCTACGCTACGCTTCGATCTGCCAGTTGAGCGCTTAACTCCTGGTGCACCGATCAACATTCCGCAAAAGGGAATCAATTGCGAGGTGGTACTGCAGCAACGCACGCACACACACACACGCACACAGACACCCACCCACACACATTCACGCACACATGCGGAATTTCCTGTTATGTGGGGCAGTCCAACACGTCCCACTTGGCCCAAAGAGCATCCAAATGCGATTAAGAGCAGCAGAAAGCAGGCAGGCGGCAGGCAGGGAAACGATGCCCGCAGCGAAAGAGATCTACTTGTTGTCGTCGTCATCATCATTGTTCATGTTGTTGTTGTTAGTGGTGTGTATACATTTTTTCAGGTAAATTCCAACCCAGCCGACTAGGACAGTTGTCTGTCGGTCTGCCCAGCACACGTACTACACGTCAAGTTGTTCTCGAAGGGAATCCATGAGACGCGCGCTACATCTGCATACGACATGTTATTTTTCAATGTATTTTTTTTTTTTTGTTTTTTTCTTCTAAGTTTATTATGTACTTACATGATCATACAATTAAGTATGTATCTTCCTATAGAGGCAATCCTCTAACTCCGGGCTGTTTGAACGAAACTCTTCTGGCCATGGGCCGTAGTCTACCAAGAATGAATGTTTATTGTACAGCCCATGTAAATGTGCTATGACATGTTACTTTGTAAACAATTGTATAAGCCCAATCTTGGTATTGTAAGACGATTGTATTGTTATAATTGTAAAACTTTGACATGTACATATTTGTGTATGGCTTAAGAAACGTAAAAGGGACTCGTTCATTGAAGAATTCGACTGACGAGGACCCCCTGATGTTCAACCCACCCATCCCTTAATATGAGAGTGAAGGAGCGACTTGCAAGAGGCTACTCCATTGCGCTCTTAAGGCGGGCCTGGCCAAGACACATATGTATCCATCTCCAGGGGCTTGCGGTGGTGCTGTACGCGAGCGGCAGAGGGGACAATCAACCGTTCAAATTGGCTGGCAGAACTAGCTTCAACTGTGCGAACTCTTGATTACCTGGTCGTCGATTCGCCAACCACCATTCCATGAGCTGAGATTGAATCTTTCGGCCTTACTAATTTTTCGACTCTGATGTCGCATCATCGCTTCAAATCCCTAAAACTTTAAAATCAGCCATTTCCTGTCGTAAGAGGTGGAGCTGCAGCTGACCAAAAACCATCCGTTACGGCATCGACGCTTCATGGCAAGAGAGATCTGCACTGGAGGTCTTCGTGTTAGTAACTTCACATCTTAGCACGTCCTGTCGATCTAACACCTATGGCTTGTTGGGAACATTTCATCTACTATGTCACTGCATCCAGTCCGAGGCTAATAGACAGATCCACAGATTTACTGCCAGCTACAACTCTACTACTACTAATATTCAGAAAGCAACCAACACATCATTCTCATCGACACGTACGCCCGCACAAATCATTTTTGGCTTCGTCCGCTGACTAGGACACACCACACATGGGATAGTTTTTCGGCCCCAAGATAAAACTTGAAAATCGATTTTCTTCGCATCGACAACACACACATATTCCCCCTATATTAGGGCCCGCTGGCAGCTATAGGATCCTACTCAGATCGTTTTCTTCTTGTCTTCTGCTACTCGACCCACTCTAAGGCCAACGATGAGGCCGTTCGTTTCTGATGTTTTCTCAAAGGACTTCGTTTCTGGCGATTAGGATTTTTTGAAGGATTGCAAATGTTTTCTAAAACTTCGGACAATTGGGCACAATTTGAATACGTTCACAAACTGACGGCGGCGAGGGATAATAGTAAATATTTTGACAGCAGCGTGGGATTATACCAAAAATGACGGCAGCGGGGGATACCAAATTGAAAGAACAGCGTGGGATTCTCTTTCGTTTTCTACGTGGGACTTTTAGGGCTTCGGTTAGGAGATGTCGCTAGGTACAAGGCTTCTATTATTAGGACAACTGGGAAGGGGAGCCCATTCGGATAACCATATAACTTGATGTCAAGAGGAGAATCGCATTGACTGCGGCGTGGGAGCATTGACATTTGACTGCGGCGTAGGAACATTGACCTTTGACTGCAGCGAGGGACATTATCGGTGACTGCGGCGAGGGAGTTACGGACGGCTGCGTGGGAGGAGTGCACTTGACGGCGGCGAGGGAGCTCGAGACGGCGGCGTGGGAGTTCCGGACGGCGGCGAGGGATCACTTGACTGCGGCGAGGGATTATTCTTCGTTTCGTCGGCTTTGTTTTCTCTATGATCATCGTCGGTATTCCCATGAGGCGCAATTTAAGCAAAATTCATACGTTCAAAGCTGATATACAACTTACATTTTGAAAGCTATGTGCAAGCTAAACAAGCGTCATCCATATAGAACCGTATTGCCTTAGTTGTTAATTAAACATCAATAACCCGCACCCTTGACCTAATAACCTCATGACTGGAGCCTATCATCATTCCAATCAATATTTATTGTATATAAACATGTTCCTGGAATACCGGAAAGCAATTTAACACGATGATCCAGATAATCCCAATGCCAGATGTCCATAAACGGATTATCTGCAGAATAAATATGATTTTTTGAAAAAAGAAATTCGACTCGTCTTTATTTAAAGTGTTGCTTTATTTTAAATTGTGTTGTGTTTGATTCTACCAAAGCTTGAAAAGTTTCCCGTAGGGATAGGTGCCATTGGACAATCCACCTTTGGCATAGGTAAAATTGCCATGTGTCGTGCCATTTGAGAACGGGCCGAATCCATATGTGCCACTGGGTTGGAATTGACCCGAACCGACGAAGTTGTCATGGAAGCCTATGTTTGGCTGCTGAGCTGTTCCCTGGTAAGGTGCTCCGTACTGAGGACTGCTATGCAAGGGCTGCACAACTCGCGTCTCATTGAATCTTGGTCGGGTACTATTAAATCCCGGACCAACCCAGGGCTGATAGTTCGTCGCCGGCTTCACATGCGTCGAGTTCGAGCGTCGAAGATTCGTATGGAAGTTTCGTGCAAAGGATCTAGTCTCAAGGTTAAGACATCCAAACAGCAGAGCTGCAGTTAAAGAGATTCGAGAGGTTAGGGCAAACCTAGCAGATGCGTGCAAATTTTGAGAAAAATAAGCTAACCCATGCTTAGAACCAGCTGATAAGATTTGAACATCTTGATAACAAATTTCGCAACTCCCGCTAGCTCGTGTGGTATACGCCTCGGAATTCTAAATGAAACTGAAGACGGTTGCAAACAGCAGCCACAGCTTATCAGCCTTGGGCATTAATCATTTGTATACCCTGTACGCAAGAAACGGGTAAGAATGAATTAATCGATAAATATAACAATTTCGTACAAAATCTGATGTGTAGCGTAGGAGGAGGAAGTTGTTGAGGCAGGCTTACAGGGTGTATTTTGAAAATGATAACCCGAATGGTAACTTTTAGACTACCTCAAAACATTTTTAAAGTTGGGACCATCAAATATTTGATATCCAAATACATGTATAAATATGTCTCTCCTGACGGAATAGAGAATGGAGTCTTAATAAAGAATAACTTCGGGCTTTCCTGTTTTCTGCTTCAAAGTTCTTCGTTACGTATTAATCTAAACTGATTTAATTCATATTCTTTTTGAAAATCCAGGTGCGTAAGGATACTTTAGTTGTGGTCACAGGGTATCGCATAGGTGACTACTTTATTAAAACAATTATGCCAGCTGTTTGTAAATATGTACAATGTTTAAACAAAAAGTTTGCGCTTATCAATATCACAAGTGTTGTTCCCGAACATGCTTATTTTTTTCCTAAGAAAGCTATATAATTAAAGTCTTAAAACAGATTTTTATAGTCTGCTCAGAAAGTGAAGAAGAGTATTTCGCTCTACGGCTCTTTCGTCTTGAAGGCATGACTAACCCTGCCTGTCACGTATACCACTGCGAGCAGGGTATTGCACAGTCGGTTGCATCCGGCTTATTTCTTATAGTACCATTAAATTACTAGCTCTATGTACACTATGAGTAAGCTGCATTTCAGCCGCGCTGCATGGGAAACAGACCTTGGCAGCTGCCTCGTCGCACAATTCGTATATCTGGAATAATATTTGAGTCAGAAGCTATTCAGACTATTTGTGCAGCACAACTCACCGGCACCGCAGAAGAGAGCGCAGTTAAACTTCTGTTCGTTGAGGTACATTTGCCTGTTGCTCGCACAGATCGGATTATATTCTGGCGTTGTGGGGCAACGACCAAAGCAATCCAGGAATTGTTGCGTCGGAGCCGGCGCTGCAGAGACAAAGGGTGTCATAGTGCCCACCACTGGCTCATTGTTGACCAGCACAAAGTTGCCACCGAGCCGAGCTGTTGGCCTTGTGGTCATTGGAGGCGGACCTGTTGTTGCTGCGAATATTAGGGAATCTTGGGTGGCCACTAGATCGCTGGTGATAAGGGCACAAACCGTTAAGAGCAATGGCTGCAGATAGTAGTTAGACATTTCTGAAATGTATCTGCGAGGCTCTGCTGTTGCACCTGAACTAAACCAAGCAAGTTGGCTTACACTTATAAGACTGAATTAACACGAACTTAAATAGACAAGTGATTTCATGGAACTGGTTTTCCACGATCACTTTCTGGTAAATCCAGTTCGATCAGCTTTAAATTGTATCAGATTGCCCTTAATCGATCGCGATAACACAAAGCGGGACGTTCCCAAAAGCTAAACAGTATTCGATATTTAACTTTATCTATTAGTTAAAATACAAAGGCATTTAAAGTAGGTTGAGAAATCCCCAGTATGCAAAACAACAACATTTGTTAGCCTATAAAAATGACGTTGTATGGTGCGGAAGTTATACGAGGTCCCGGCATAGAGCTCGTGGGCGATAAATACCGCATAGATTGTTCTAGTTTCTGGTAGGGTGCAGTCTTGAAGCCAATGAGAGCTGAAACAGTGAGTCATTTAGACGGTTGGCACAAACACTTGCAACAGCTAAGACTTACAGTTTGAGGTTTGGGGCATAATAGTTGGTTGTTTGGATTCTGATTCTTCGGCCGGCATATTTTGGTCACTCGAGCTCGTATTAAGGGCTCGTTGTAGACACTTGCCCATATGCATGCCACGCCTAGGTCGCCCACAGCGGCAGTTTTCCAAAAGATTCTTTTGCATTTCAGGCGAAATGAACCGCGATTTGCGCTGACTCTCGGGCTCTTCTAAAATAAATAGTATAATGGGGTTTATATCTTATCTAATATAACTTGCTTTACGTACCTAGTATCTTAAGTTTTTCCTCCAGCTGTTTTTCCAGTTCGTCTGGATGATAGAATTTGTTGGTCTCACTCGCAGCAATTCCATTCCAAATATGTGGATAATTTCTGCGCGATTTGTGCTCAATACGGACCACTTCCTTGCTATATGTATGATAAGTTTAATTTATATAATTGCCCTTAATATGCATCTCTTGTACGTACACTCTTCCAACTAGTTTGGTGGGATCCATTTTAATAATCGTCTTCCTGTTGGTTAACAAATGTGTACTTCGAATTTATTTAAATATGCTTCTGTCATTCGAGCATTTTCCATGGCAACGAAATCAACAATTGGGGTGCTATTTTTTCTTCCTTTCACGCTTATCGATTGTAGTTCAAACTTACTGATGATTCCCGCTGAGAATGTGCCAGGATTTTTATATTAATCAGAGGTTAGAAACTCCCATTCCCATGTTCAAAAATCCATATTACGTAATCACAGCCTAAAAGTACTAGTGACTTATTTCAAAATCAGAAAGACTTGTCTTATATTACACTTCCATTCCCATCCAAAAATGTCACAGTTTGAGAGATAGTTTCTTAGGATGGTTGTATAAATACACCTAGCAGACATCTCCGACTCCATGAAAATACAATTTTAATTTCGTGTATACTGTACAAACAGTTCAGATGATTCAATCTGTGGAAACTAGTCTCAAATTTTAAAGTGAGCATCAATCTAAACATAATGAATAATGGTTTCTGAAAGAACTAAATAACATGAATTATCAAAAATAACCTCTTGAGTTCTGATTGTGTTTTTGTTAATGATCGAATATTTTTGTAAGTTTTTGTATTTTTTGGTACTCTCGTTAGGTAGCTATAATTATCAAATACATAATTTATGAGTCTCACACAAATTTTATATAATATTGTTTCAGCATACAAAATTTTGAACTTGAAGCTTTATGTGCCTAACTCTAATTTAACGTTGCTTTTATTTATATTTAAAGTTAGAAAAATGTTTAGATTATATAAAGGCGAAAAGCAGACAGAGTTTTTAATGTTATATTACTGATATACTTTTTATATTTGCGGGACACTTGATCAATGATATTGTTAATTTTAGTTAACGTGAAAGCACACTTGGAACGTACTAAGTTAGTTAAGCTTATGATTGAAACACGGTAAATTTTAAGTTTCAATATTAATAATTTATACTGACGGACAGTGAATTTATCAAATTTATATATTGTAAAAAGCTAATGGAATTATTAAAAAATAGCTTTCACAAGTATTAGTTTCTTAAATATATGCGTGGCGCTTCAGTAAATTTGACAGCTGCAAATGTAAGCTCTTAAATATATACAACGCACTGATTATTTAGATTGCTAATTACAATGCAAGACCGACAGAAGACAGGAAAACAGATACAGTCACACACATTTACACTTTTACTTAAAAGCTAGACAACATTAACTTTAGCCTAATGTAATATATAATATAATATAATATAATAATAGAATAACAGTGCCAATACGCATAATCAACGGTTCTGGCTTCAAAAACAGTTGCCCACTTAGTACAATCTTAATTCTCTTGCATTCTTACGATTGCTCATTTTCTTTTTGTTAGCGCTACATTTTAAATACACGTATATTTATATATTTGTGTATATAAATATATATGCATTAAAATGTGTATTTAAATATATAAACTATTTTTTAAACAGTCCATAGTTTTGGTTTATCATATTGGCATTTTAGCACGCGAGATAATTCATAATTCCTGTTAGATATTCACAAAGGAAAAACCGTCTCACAATATACCATTCGTATAATATTGATAGCCATCGTACAGTTTTGTTGAGAGGCTTTTTAGTGAGTCCTGCACAAGCTGTTCAACCTTGCGTTCCATTTCCTGCTCAGTTAAATTCATATGAAAGCGTTTTCGGAGATTCTGTACTGTGCCGGAACAACCATTCCTAAAGCATGGCAAATGCGCATCTAAAAAAAAAGGAAGACCGTCAAAAATGGCTTTTGGTGCGTTTAATTTTACCTACTGCTTCGCATAATTTCAACAAAGTTTATGATGCGGTCCATGTGCTTGCGCACAGACATCATGCCGACAAGCAGCAGGCGATTGAACTCCCGCCAATGTACGGAGCCTGTGCCTCCCATAACATCGACAAATTCGTGCGTGAGCTTAAAAGGTGACTGCTCGAAACCTGTGAGAGGCAGAATGCAATTAGTATCTTATGTCCAAGCGGTTGTAATTCAAATAGTTACCCAAATTTTTAGGAGATATGCTAAGAATGAAGCCGAAGTCTATATGTATTATATGACCATCCGAATGAAAGAGTATGTTACCATTATGCCTATGGGTTGTAAAAGGCAAGTCGGGCTGTAAGAACAGTTTCAACGTGCGTGTCTGAGACTTACCTGTCCTTAACCTGCAGAAGATAGGATATCAGACAATAAGCCGCACAGCTTGCAACGAAATTCTTTTGGGCTTGTCTGAAGCTTTCGCCTGTGGGTATACCATATTCATCAATAAAATAATCTCGCAAGGATTTGTTCGAATTCTTTTTAATTTGATGCAACGAGACAGTGTTTAGTATAGGCTCAATCAGACCGCTGTCGTTCGACAGGCAAATTATTTTATACGGCCGCACCCACAGATCCACATTTTCTTCCTGCCAAATAATCTTGAACATCTGTCAAAGTTCAATGATATATACAAAGAATTCTCGAAGCTGGCGGAGTGAGTTAATTACCTGCAGAAGCTGCGTGGCCATCAGCTCTTGTCGCAAATCATCACCACACTTGACAATCGCCGAGAACAGTCGCCAGTTCGATAAATGTCCATAGGGGGAGGACTCGCGTATGAGTTTCTCCTTCATATGCCAGGGTTCCTACACGGCAAACAAGTATTAAAGCTGCTTAGGCTAATAAGTATGGTTACGCAAACCTTTAGAACCGCCGCAGATGGATCCTCAGGATCGTTGCTAAAGGACTTTGTGTTCTCGCAGCTCAAATTGTTGCAGTGCCGAGTCCGAACGTCGCCAATGTTAAAGACAATTGGTGGACCTATAATTGAAAAGTTTTTTATTATCAGAGCTTCTTATCAGTGTTTCTATTCGTATATTTTACCCTGATCTCTAGAGTCGCATGAGTCTAATGACATCTGCGAGATGGCGTCCCGCTCGCTGATTTTGCGCATGTTTAAGTATTGCGCGGTGATTTCATCATCTTCCTGTGACCAGACATCATCGGCAAGCAGCTGCAACCCGCCCAATGACAGCAGATTGCTCTGATTCCCACTGCAGCAGCAGCTGTGTACGGCCGGATCGTTGCATCTGCACTCTGCATGCGATTCAGTGCCCTTTTTTCGGCGACAGCTGGACCCATGATGGCTTTCACTACAGCTAGAGATGCGGCTGCAGCTTTGATTTATGCAGACGCCCTCCAAATGTTCCTCGCTCTTGGTGTGCCGTAGCGACGGCATCATCTTCGGTATAAGCGGCGAGGTGTGAATGTCAGGCACTTCCACTACCTCCACATAAATAATGTACGGAGTTTTGTCTTTGGAATTTAGTACAGCAGTCTTTTCCTCTGTGATGCGTATCACATGATGCGGCACATCCGAGTAAAGCGGCAGCCAGACACGAGCGGGCAAATTTTTGTTGATCAGGTTAAGACACATCCGCAGTGCTGAAGTCTTCTCCGCCTTAGAGGGAAGCGAAGTCAGATTCTTGCCCGCATTCATTAGCGCCTTCATGAACTCCTTTTGCGGGGAAGTCTTTGGCGCACCGCAATTGCAGAACGTGTGGTGCCCCAGGAGACCATTAACCTGACCCCGTACCGTTTCAAAACAAGTGCAGCCATTGTCGAAGGCACGTCCTGAGCTCAGATCGCCTAAGCACAGCTTCGCAGGTGCTGCGGGCAGCGTTTGTGTAGTGTATGGCGGCTCCTGGTACAGCCGATGCGTTTTGTTGCCGGAATCTGCGAGCAACACTGTGGCATCGGATTGGGAGCGATGGTGTGTTTTTTTTACGAGAGCAACAGCAGGACTTTGGCTAGATTTGAGTTGATGCTTGCCTTCTTTCTTGGAGAATATCTCCTTCATGAGCGACAGCTTGGACTTGCGGCTTTTACTGCTGCTGCCCAGCGAGTCCACCTGGTGATTATACGCCTCCAAAAGCCACAGACACTTGAGGGAGAAGTCGACCGACTTTCGGCAACGTATGGTGAGGTAGGGATCCAGCACTTCAGCAAGTTCGTCCATTTCAATATACATTACGATTAGCTGCGGTATATAAAGGTCGACTTCCTGGTCGGAAAAGCTAAAGATCTTGTTGCCAATAAAGCTCAGCACGCCTGGCTCCTTTGAGTAGAACAAATAATGCACAGCGAAGTGAATATTGAAAACGGGCGATTCAAAAAACCGCAACAGGCCGCTGGGACCCCGTTCGCTGCTTTGCTGGGCACCAGAAGTGGGCGCATGGTCATTAATGTAATATTTCACTACGCCTGGCACGGGCATCTTCAGTTGATTCACTGAGCTCATGGAGGAGCTCATCGCCAGCGCTGCAGCGTGTTCGGTTTCAGTTTTTGCAACCGGCAACCGCAACTTCAGTGTGCGCTTCTTAATCTGCATACTTGTTGAATTATCCAACGTGGGGGCAGTTCTAATGGCGTCTGTTGCCGTTTCAGTTGCAGGAGCATCGGTTGTACCAGCTGCTTTCCTGCTGGAATTGGAGCTGAGTAGGCTGAAGAACTCTTTCCTTTTAGAAACGTCTGTAGGGGACTTGGCCGCATCCAGGGAGATTGACACTCCGCTGTTGGGCGTGGTGGATATCGCAGATAAAGCGTCCTGCGGCTCGCCAGTCTTTTGCTTGACTGCATTCTTCTTCTCGTGGTTCTCAATTATGCTCTGGGCCGTGCGGAAAATTGCATTCTTGGTGGCACCGAAAAAGTTCTTAAAGAGCACTTGGTCGCTTTTACTGTTCTCAGTGGGAGTGGCTATTGGTGTGGGTGTTGCATCTGGGGTCTTTGCGGGCGTAGTTGCTGCTGTTGCCGTAATATTGTTAGACGACGCTTGTGATTTGGACGATGGCACGTGGTCCTCCTCATGCTCGTCTAGCACCGGTTCTATCTCATTGGGTGCTGTTCCGAGCTCCAAGTTAATGGCCGCCTGGGACATGTTCATTACGCGATAACGCAGTCGATCATCCCCATCGCGCGGTTTCTGATCTTGCCCCTCTGCTGACGAAAAGGTGCAAGCATCCGATTCTATTGGATTGTAGGCCACTTCGGTAAACTTCGCTTCCACAAAGTCGATGCATTTCTTGGCTCCCGCTTCCGCATTGGCATCCATTGCGCCCAAATTGAGCGCCTCATGAGAGTGGCCTATGCGACTAAGGGATATTTGCTCCGACTCCGAGCCACATAGAATGCCTGACAGACGAAGGGTGAGGATGGAGAAGGGGAGTATAAATTATTATGCTTACATATGGTCCATTAAAAAAGGGAAACTTAGCTTCACATATGACAACTTTATCCATGATAAACTATAACTCATATGCAAATAATTTCCCAAAATATTTTGTATACTTCCCCACCTGAATCGTCGGATCCCAGGCTAGTCAGATCCTCGCGCTTTTTGCTGCTGCCTGCACTGCTGCAACTGTTGCTGCTGCTGTTACAGCCACTTATGTCATCGATCATGTCCTGTCTGTCCTTGGCCAACTCGTTCGGTTTGCTTTGATTTTGCACCGCTGGACAGGCATCATCTGCAGCAGGGAAAGATCAGTATTAAAGCTTCGCTGTCAACCGACTGAAACTACTCACCAACTAAGCTGGGTATATGCTCGTTTTGCGGCGGATCCGTTCCTGAACAGTCAGAGGCGACAAGCTCTGCATTGGGAGCACCAGTGAGGGCTGGATTTGGTGGGTAGGTGGCAAGTGCGGTCGTAATATTGGCTGAGGTTGTGTCAATCTTCGAGCACATATTGGCGTTGAGTTTTGATGGTTGTGAGCAAAATATTGCCTCACCTTCTGCATTGGGCGAGGCCATCTCCACCTGGAAATGTCATAATATTCAATAAACTTTAACACGCTAGCAAAAGCTTGTTTAATTCAAGTTAAATGAAAAAGACACAAGTAAGAATGTTGCAGTCCGAGAACATCTTTGGATATGTGTGTTGGGAGATATCCACATAGCATTATATTCTTTATACGACTTTATATTCCAATTCCAAATCGCCTTTATACGGACAGATAGGCGGGCAGGAAGACATATGGACATTGCACTAACCTAATGGAATCTTTCAACTTTGAGAACGAGTATGCAAATCCAGAATTTAACCTGATTTAGCTTAAAGCTTTACTGCAGCAGAAACGGAGAACAAAGCTCCCTCGCGCTATCGCTATCTCTCTCCCTCTCTCTTTGAAATGAATTTAATAAATTAATAATTTAATAGTAAATAAAAACGATCAAATAAAAGAATAAGAATAACAATTGGAGGTTCTGAAGGTTTATATTTAAGGCTTAACTAATAGTAAAAAATCGAATTTATGAAATTGAAAAAAAGTGAATCCTAAAATTTAAAGCGTTGATGGAAAAAGTATAACTTAATTTTAATTTTCTATATGTTATTGCCGCTTCTGATAACCCGGAATATACAAAAATAGCAAATTGGAAAAAAATGTGAACAATAAAAAAGCGATAAAAACAGACTGTGTATATACAGTACCTTTGTATGTATGTGTAAACTCATACGCAAGCACACTCGCACACACACACAGGTTGTATACGTGCACACATGTGTTTGTATGTGGACACGAAAGATGTTCAAGTTCACCAATGTCATTTTTTTTCTTTAGTATTGAAGGCCGTGTGGATCGCTGCATCCGCTGTTGCCAAATTTACTCACCTCGGGTATGCGCTGCAGAGCGCTGTCGAGGCTTCGGTTGCGATGATGTTGCGTGTGGTTGATGCGTGTGCTGCTCACCTGAGCAACAGGCGCCAGCAATATGCCCATCGATCTGCAAAGGTAGGTAAATAAGTCAAATTAAAAGACAATTGCTTTCAAACAAAAATCGATATGGTTTCGTCAGCAGTTGCACAAGTGCAATCAATGCAAAACAATAAGCGAGCGAGCGAGCACAAATACACACACACACACACACACACACACAAATCTGCAAATACTTATGTACGTATATATGAGCACTCACACCATACATTTACATACATACATACATATGTGTGTGTGTGGATAGGAATGTTAACGTAATTACTGTTTTTCTACGATTTCATGCGTGCAGTGTAGAGCTAAGCTGAGCAAGTGAAATTATCAATGTTTAGAAGGTAAATAACAAAACAGAAAGCACAATAAAAGTATGACAGTAAGAAGAAAATATAAACCACACAAGAGCCAATGAGGGCGAGAGCAACAGGTGCTCGTAACGAATAGATTCAGTGTGAACTTCTATTTAACTGTTGCTGTTAGCACCATTTTCCATATGCTAAGCTAACAGTCATGTTGATTATAATTAATGTTAGTATGCACTGTAACTGTTAACATATGCTTGAGAAAGTTGCAAGAAAACTATTTCAGAATAACTGACTAAGAGAACGTTGAACCTAGCGCCAAGCTACCGTTACAATACATACATACACACACATTTACACACTTTGTGCAGTGACTCAATTTTTTTCCTTAACTCACACAAGTGCATTCGTGGATAACTAATTTTAAGGGCCAATTGTGTTTATATACCAAAGACAATATAGACACTGTTTATATTTATTTTATAATATCCATGGCTATACTATAACAAGAGTGATTTAGTCGGGAGTGCCAGACTAGGAGAACCTCGCGCCGAGCTGATGTCACAAATTCTAGTTTCCTTTCACACACACACACACACACACATGCACAAAATGGCATAAAACAAACGGAGCTTTGTGCGCATTTGACGCTGCGACTGCGCTGCTTCTTCCCTTAGCTGCCCACAATGCAAATTCCTTTTACGATTTACTTCCGATCTTAAGACAATTTTTGGGGTATAAATAAATGCATAAAAACATACCGAAGTCATTCATATATAATATTCTGGATCAGTGCATACTATATGAGAGTATGTATATAAACCTCTCGAAGCTGGAAGTGCTCAAAAACCAGGATTTCGATATCGATTTTAGGGCAAGTTATCGATTAACCTGCGCTCAAATTTGTAAGTGTCTAGCTCTTATACCTTCTGCAAACATGTTTAAGCCTATTGCATATATTTGCAAAGAAACTATTTGACCCTTTTTACCCATTTTTAATGGGTCCAGGGCATATTGTAGCTTACCTGTAATCTAGGCTTAAGTTCCTTTCGTGCTTTAAAATGCTTTTTGCTGTTATGCCGCTCGCTTGGGTCCCGGCAAATTCAACTGTTGTTGGAACCACGCTCAGGTTCGGACGCCCGTGCACGGAGGGCATAGATTGATTAAGTCCACGGGTTAGGCGCGGCCCGGTTGAGCGTACGTGCTTCGGCGTGCTTGCCGCTGAGCTATTGGATAGTCTTGAATTCGTGGAGTGGGTGATACAGTTGCTGCTCACGCTACGGCTTTGTATGCAGAGAGGTAGTGAAACGGGCGGGGTATTTGAGAAATGAGTCATATAATCTCCATGGCCTTTTGACATAGCAGTGTGTGCCAGCCGCATCTGGAAGCTACCGTCTTCAGTTGAGGTGCACTCAACACGGTGTTCGTCAGAGATTTCGCCAGGATTGCTGCTCCAAAGGGAGCAGGTCTGGAGTTTTGCGACTGCCGTCGTGGGACTTTGCACTACGGTGCTGTTGCTGTATTCGCTCGAGCTGCTGGTACTGATGCAGGCAACCGTCGAGTTATCCGAATCATCATCGTCATCTGGCAACGGAACTGGGCTGACTGACAGCGGATTAGGGCTTATGATGGTGTGGTTCGCCTTGCCGTTCATATTATCATTAGAGTGCCCTTTCACACAGGACAATCGCACTAAAGCGGGCGCACAGTAATCAACAGTATCAGTGCTTGCGGCAGCTGAATCCACGGCCGGATGATAAACATTGCCAATGTCCTCGGCAACTACGACAACATGGAGCCTCGGCTCAATGACAGTCTCGGGTATTGGCAGACGGCATTGACACACATCGCTTGGAGCCCGTGGGTTCGATTTGGTAGCGCCAAGGATAGCTAGGTCGCCGTTTTGCATACAGTCTGGTGTTGGAACATTAGACCCAGCCGAGACTGTTGTTGAGCAGGGCGTGTTGCTCCTCTTGATTTTAAATGGTGAGATGACGGAGTTCATTTTAAGATTGCATAGGTTTTGTTTTTTGGTTCAGAGCGGAAGTGTTCCTCCTTGATACTTCTTGCTATATTCAGTTCCTTTCGCCAGCTTCGTCCGCATTATAAATTGGGCCATTTTAGGCTGAGGTTGTTTATTGTGGGCAGCCATAGATTTATAAGCTTTGCCGAATATTTAGCATTGATTTACCGAGTATGCGAGTGAAATAATCAGGTGCCCTGCAATCTACAAAGAAAATTGTGAGTTTAATAAAACTGTATGGACTATGAACGTGTTACTTGAATTAGAGCTGTTTCTTTCGATTTCTGACCCTGCTCTCGTTTCCAATTCATTTGTCTTATGTGTGCTTATATTCATTTCTAGTTCGAAATAATAACAGATCCTTTTGTGCTAGATTTGTAGCTCAGCTAGTCGCATAGTCTCGGACCTTAAATTAGTTTTCGCCAATGAATTAACAGATAAAAACAAAACTGCATACCACAGATTGTTAATTTTAATCGCAAGTGTTGGGAACAAAGAGCTGGTGCTAGTGATGGTAAAAACAAATCGGAGCATCAAAGTATCGAAAATCGATGAGTGCTCAGCATGAGTCAAGTGTTATCTCTATATAACGGAACAAAACCGTTTACAAAACGACAAACTTGTAGATACTTGTTCTTGCTTCCCAACTTTTAGCCAAAAAATTAAAAAGTACCAATTCAAAATTAGCTTAAAATTAAGCGTAAATATTTATACGTCATCTCATCATTTTGGCGTTTTTTTTTCTCGCTAAAATCAGTTTCACATCACTAGATACTAGATAGACTATATGGGCAAGGGTGTGGCACACCTGCGCAAACTCTACACAGTCATTAAAATGCAGACACAAGGAACAAACGAATTCAGACTTTGTAGACTCTGTCTAAAAAATGATCTCAGTTAACATAAGTTTCTTAGGCGATCAAGTTGGTCGGCATTTGGGATTCCCACGTGACCAATATGTTTAACATTTCAAAATACGTTGACTTAGAAGAAAATTAAACACCCTAAAACTTGAAATTTTAGTCAAATCTAAATCAGTTTGAAGAAGCCCACCTTAAGTTAAGTGTTTGCCTGTCGCCTAGTTATAATGGGAAATACCCGAAGTATGCGTGCTTAAAAACTTAGCACAAATTAGTTTGTACATAAGTAAAACCATATGCGAACTTGTAATTCGGATAATAATTCCCTGGTTTTAATTATATTAATTGTGCAACTAGCATAATCTAGTATCCGCATCATAGTATTTTTTTTTTTAGCTTGCAACAAGTATAATCTACCGCAACACAGTATTTTTTAATCTTGGTGAATTTGCCAATTTAAAAACTGGTCACACTGTTCGAATTTCATATAAACATAAAAACAAGATGCTACCTGGCGTTGGCGTATTCGGAACAGGTGAAATCGCCAATGTCCTGGTGCCGCTGCTACGAGAGAAGGGTTTCGAAGTGAAGGCCATTTGGGGGCGCACACTAAGGGAAGCCAAGGAAACGGCCAACGCACAGAATGTAGCATTTTACACAAACGTCATAGACGAAGTGCTTCTACGAAAAGATGTCGATCTGGTATTTATAGTGTGCCAGCCGTTTCTGCACGCGGAGATTTCAGTGAAGGCGCTGGGCATTGGAAAACATGTAGTATGCGACAAGCCAGCGGGTCTTCATCAAGCAGACTCCATGAAAATGGTGCGTGCATCACAGTACTATCCGACACTTATATCTCTGGTGAATCATCCTCTGAGGTTCTTGCCCGCATTTACCCAAATGCGACGCTGCCTTCAGGAAGGAGTCATCGGACCGCTGGGGGACGTGGTCTTGATGGATGTGCGTGTGCAAATGGGCACCCTCTTTCCCGAAAAGTACAACTGGATGTGTGATGCCCAGATGGGCGGTGGGGCACTCAATCTTGTGGGCAGTGTGGTGGATTTGGTCCACTTTTTGTTGCAACAGCATGCAGTGCGTGTGCATGGCGTATTGAGAGCCTACACCAAAACAACAGGGGCCATCAATGGCATCCGCCAAATAACAGCTCCGGATTTCTGCAATTTTCAAATGGAACTGGCCAGTGGCACGCTCGTTACGGTGGCTCTTCATAGTCACACGGTTCCGACGAAAACCTTTTCCCAAGAAGTACTCGTCTATGGCAGCAAAGGTCATTTGGTGGTGCGAGGCGGCGACCTGTTTGCCCTTAAGGAGTCTCAACAAAAGGAAGAAGCCGTCTATGTCGATGTTCAGGACTTGCACATATCTACCAACAATTCATTACTTCCGCGTCCATACATCAAGGGTATGTGCAAAATGGTAGGTGCTCTCAAGGAAGCCTTCAACAGCAAAGAGTCCAGCTGGATAAAGGCGCCTGTCTCCACCGCCGCTACTTTCGAAGATGGCCTTTACGTACAAGCCGTCGTCGAAGCTATACGCAAGTCGAATGAAACCCGTCAATGGCAGCGCGTCGAATTGACCACAGATGCGCCCCTCAACCATGACCAGATTATTAGGTATGGATATGCGCGAATGCCCACCATGTGAATGGGATGCTTATTTTCCGCAGTATTGTTCCATCGCCTTTATACTTAAAACGTATTTAACTTATTGTTTCGGCATTTACATTTTGCATTAATAAACCACCTTTAGATTTTTAAGATGACATAAGACAAAAACTATTTAAATTTGTGGGCAATAAGTTCTTGTAACATCTTTCAGCTTTTAGAGATATGACCTGTTTCTAATCTGACCGACAGGTATAAATACATTTGTCTTAGGGAAGAATATCTTCGGTTTCCCAAACACAAAATACCCTATCTAAGCATAATAGTGTATCTTATTCTTGATCAGAATCAACAATCGATATATCCATGTCAATCTATATGTTTTTATGCAAACTAGCTCATGAGACTTGGCAAAGGTGCGTCTTTCTCTTGCAAGCAGAAATAATGTCGGAATCGGCCAGATAGGACTACTATATCCTATAGCTCTTTCAAAAGTGTATTTCTTCAATCCTTAAACCAGCCACTTACTGTTTCATTTAGCTCTAGATGTAGTTGAGGTTCATGTTATATGACTCCTACAGGAACAATAGGTCGGAATTAAAGATTTCTGAACATTCTTTGCTAGGCTTCGTTATTGGTCCTGGTCAGCCTGATATACATACATGTGCACTTTATGTAATGGGAGATATGTTCTTCTGCCCGTTCTGAACATCTGTATATACCCTTCTTAACCAATTGAATGCATGAGAGAAATACACAAAATTGTTTACAAATTTGTTATGTGTTGTGTGATTTGTAATTTTGAGCGGAATAAGTTTTATTTGGCATGCTAAATTGAAAAGATATATAAACGGCAAGCTTCTATTTCGCATTAGCGCTAATTTGGAATATCTATTATACATAGTTGGGTGTATTGAATTTGTAATTTGTTCGTTCCTTTTTGGTATATCAGCACTTATAAAAACTAAATTTAATGCTACACTGGGAGAATAAAATCCACTACCCTAAAGCCTGTTGAGTACAATTAAGCCAATGATATTATAAATAGTTCGTATTAATAATAATATTGTCTTTGATGCAAGATAAACAGTTAAACATAGAAACATAAATGGATAATTTGCTTGAGCTTAATGTAAATAAATAGTTATGTTAAATATACAATTATTTGAAATATTTTTTGAACAAAACGAACAAACGCAATCGGTAATAAAATAATAAAAAATAAACAAACGATAGACACCAGCTATGTATACGCATAAAACATAAAACTAGACTTAAATATACAACCTAGGCTAAGCAACTAACTAAACGACAAGACTATTCCCTACCGCTTGTTCAGCTTGCGCCAGAGTGTGATCACCGTCAGCAGATGCATCACGGCAATTACAATGGCCATTAGCAAGACGCAGTCGGACATGTGCACATCGGAGATCATCATGTACTTAAGAAAGACTTTGGGACTGCGGAAGTGACAGTAGATGACATTCTCCGGACACTCCAGAAATTCACGGTCCAGGCCGTAAAAGGCGTTCAGCGCACCATGAAAGCCGGCCCGGAAATAGCTCAGATGCCACATCCAACGAAAGAGCGGCGTTATGTCAATATACCGGGTACAAAAGCCAAACACGGAAAACATGACCGCCAGTATTGGACCCAAAAAGACGGCAAGCTGTCAATAGATAGTTTTATTCAAGCTATATGCCTCCAAATATTGAAAATATCATATACATACCTTTGTTGGCAGCGTGGCGCCCACAAAGAAGCCCCATGCCTGTGCACTGAGGCTGGCCAATATGGCCAGCAATATGAAGTAATACATACGGAAGGGCTCTCCACTATCGTTGTCCGTTAGCCGTGCGCTGATAACAATGTACAAAACCGTACAAAGGCTCTATAAGAACAAGATTATTTATAAATTGCAACAAATATCAAAACTGTGCCCGAAATATTCCGGGTATTTTCGTTAGCTCGAAATATAATAGACTCGAGGAATTTTGTTGACTCCACGCTCTCTATAATTCATTGCTTATTATTTAGTTTTAAATTTATTAAAAATCATATATTTTGTGATAAAAAAAAAACATTTTTTATCGAGGAGCATCGATTCCTTAATTTCCTCTTTAGCTAATTTGAAAAGATGCCGCATTTTCGAATATACAGAAAAGTTGCCTTAAAGCTTGCACCGAAAAGCGAATAATAACTATATAATATTGATTATTATAGTTTGGCGAAACTTACTTGAAAGGGTATCTCAAAGGAGATCAGCGACAGAAAGTAGGGTCCCAGCTTGTACCAGCGATTAAAGTGCTCCCGGGTCAGCATATCGATCTCCAGCGGAACTGCAGCAAGAAATTCAACATATTTATTAATAATTTACTCCAAATTTAGCTGCAAATTTTAATTAATTGTCGATTTCTTTGAGCGCGACCAAAGGGTACGGCGCCAATGAACTCTAAATGCATGTAACCATATAAACTTACAACGTTTCGTAATTCTCCAAACCAGTTAAATGGATTTTAAAATAAATTGGTTAACGGGAGACAAATTCAATTTATGGACTACTACAAACTATTGCTACTGGCAACTTTGACAATCTGTTAAATATATCCCGATAATTGTTTTTTAATTAATTTCTGCGAGGCTTTATAAAGTGGCAACTATCATGTTTCCGCTTCAAGCTGGTCAAATCTGCGCATCCCATCAGTTTTTCATTTAACAAAGAAATAGAGATAAGACAAGCTCCACCTTTACAATGATCATACTCTACTTCCCGTAGTCTATTGTTTACTCCTCCATTGCAAATGTGAATATACAAACTGTCATGTGCTCCAAGATCTTAACCTGGTTCTAACACATTCTCTGTTGTGGTCTAATCAACAAATTACAATTTAAACAAATATTAAAGTAGCTACTGTTTACTATTGGATTTGAACCGGCAACCTGCTAATTGTTCTGGCTCAAAACATTTTGTGTTTTTCATACTTTGAATTTTTCAAATTCCGAGTGTTTTTAGTGCACAAATATCAACCTCAAAGCGCTTACGAATTTGACTGTCTTTTTTTTACCATTCCGATAATCGGGTCAAACTCTTTTATATATCTATAATAAGATCTAAATGTTTAGTTTTATGTTTGGCCTATATTTTCGAATATGAGTTTTAATTGTAAACTAACATGTAATTTGATTTTCACATCGTGTTCGTGTCAAGAATTAAATTAACATACGCGCCCAACTCTAACTGAGAATGCCTTCGAGTTATCTAACGCTCAGATCACAAATAACAGGTAACAGGTAAAGTTAATTAACTCGACAACAAATTGCATTGGATTGGCAAACACCAACAGAAGCCAGTTGGCCAGTCGAGTGTTGGCATTGCGCTTTTTGGCTACTTACAGGTCAATACCACTGCCATTTTGCCGGTGTAGACCAAGAGCAGTATGGAGCCATACAGGTAGACGTAGTTGCCGAGCACGGAGTGCGCGCTGTTTCCCACGTTCATGTACAGGTAGCCGAATATCACGCCAATGAAAATGTGCGAAGCGATCCGGGCCAGCAACAGAAACTGCAATTAAAGCGAACGAGCATTAAACATGGTGGGCAAGTATCTTTATTGAGACACAGCTAATTATATTCATGTGTCCACGTACTTATTCAACAAGAGGCAGCCGACCTGGCGCAACATTAACATTAATCTATGTGAAGGTCGCCATCGCGTCAGTTTGTTTTCACGATATGGCCACAGTCGAGTGGCCAGCGCCAAGCCAAGCTCAACATTGATGCCAATATACCCATATATATATATATATATAAGTATGCACTTTAGGCAAGGTGTGTGGGTAGAGCAAGAAATCGATTGGCAGACAAAAACCAGTAAGAATCGAAACGTAAATATTTACTTTAAATTCCAAGCCTCTGGCACTTGTAGTTTCCGAGATCAAGACGGAATGGAAGCTGTATACCCTCTCAACGTATTTGCCATTAGTACAGGGTATACGCATAAGCAAGTAGGCATACTCCCCGAACAATGTAATTACTATTCAAAATCAATTGGAGACCCCCACTTGATTTATGAGTTTGTGACTCTCAAACTGCGCCTGCAGTTACCTTCAAACTGTGACTTTAAGTCGCATCTCATTATGCAGTTTCTTGTGGGCGTGTTCGCCATATTTTTGGCTCGATGTTGCGTAAAGGTCACGTGTAGCTTTAAGCTGTTTACCTCGCCCCTTAATGGGCGTGTTCGAGAAATATTAGCACTTTGTCTGACGCGGATATACACGAGTATATGCATATGTATATTTTTTTTTGAGCATCGGGCCTCTAACTTTAATTGTGGATATTGCAAAAAGCATTAAGCTCTTGTTTACATTGCGAGCCGCGCATAAAAACTTGCTTTACTTAATGGCTTAAGCCCCGTAAATTGCACTGAATTACCAAATCGACGTGCCTGGCAATTTGCCAAAACGGCGACGACCTTGTTGATGTTTATTAACAGGTATTTTTGAACTTACGTAGCTGCGTCTGGCGCAGATCAAAATGCGCTGCATCAGGAGCAGATATTGCATGAGAAACGACGCCGAGATGACATCAGTTCGCAGCTTCTTCGACGTCTTCGCCGTCTGGCTGGGGTCGGGGTCGGGGTCGGCAATTGTCCCCGCGGCCAGCGGCTGCTCCAGCTCGTCTGCCGCTGGGGCATTGAGCGCCTTGATCTCCTCCAGTCCGAGCTCTTGCTGGGATGGCTCAACATAGCTGTACCTCGCTAATTGCGACATGCCCAGCGTGGATAGCTCTTGAGCCGACGTATTAAGTTTCTTGCCACTCATTGAATCTGAAAGTAATATGCATACGTTTTTTCAAATTTGTTTATTAAGCTACGAGGTCGAATAAGGAATACCCTACATACAGCTATTTTTATTCCCTAACATTAAAATTGTATACACATTCCAATTTAATTGTTATAAGCTCGTATGACTCTCAAAATCGATATTTATCGATATTATGCAAATGGGGAGAAGAAATCGAAAAAAAGAATATATATAGCTGAAGTATCCTCCAAGATGGACAGATTGTCAGAAGGACATGGCTAGAACATCGTATTTCTTCCTCCTGCTCAAAAACTATTAAAAACTCAGAACTATTATACTGTTATACTGTTATACTGTTATACTATTATGCTATTATGCCTCTTTTAACCCGTTTGCAAGCGATAAACACTCTACTAATGGAGTTGACCTTTTCTTCGACGTCTCGACTTATATCATAATCATAAGGTCTAAGAACTTCTGAGAGTTATTTAACTGAGCAGCTAAAATTGTTCTTTTAATTGTAAGAAACTTACCTTTTATAGTTGTTACGATTCGCGAGACATTTAAATGGTTCGTGTATGGCTTTTGATGGGCATCCTCGTAATACTTTTTGTTCGCTGCCTCTATCAGATTGTTGAGGTCACATTGGTGTTCGCCAACGGCTACCTCCAGCACTGTGGGTAGAGAGTGGAGAGTAAGTGGGATTTGCGTGGGAATCGAACCTGAGCACGTACAGTAGTCCGCCGGATTGTGGTAGCTGGGGCACACGAGCTGCTGATCGGCAAGGAACGGCACCAACTCTTGAATTCGGCCCTGGTACATGCAATGCCCATCCACAACCGTGTACAGCTTATCAAACATTTCGAATATCAGTGCGCTTGGCTGATGAATCGTGCACACGATCGTGTGTCCCTGGGAAGCCAGTTTCTTCAGCAGCGCCACGCAGGAGCTGCACGAGGAGCTGTCCAGTCCTCTATAAAGAAATAAGTAGAGTTAAACATGTTGATATTCGAGCCAAGTGTGGGCAAATTGAAATTGAAGTATATTATATAGAACTGAGCACAGAGAGCTGCAATCCAATGGGATACAGAATCGGATAAATACGTATTCGAACAAAAGTTTCGCGATTTGATGAATTAAAGCCGGGCAACGCCGGGTAACGCGTATTGAATTGCTTAATATGAGTAATAATATTAGCGATAATGACAATAGCCTAGCTAAGCATAGGTCATATTCATCGGACCACTTCCATGCCTAATCAGTCGATTTATAAAATGCGCGCATTTGTCGCAAAAAACAAAGAAATATCATCAAAAATACATCCGCACAGCTGATCCAAAATAAAAAGGAGAATGCTCGACTAGTAGATACCCTACAGGTGCTTTAAGTGAGCTTTATTGTAGAATATATAAATATTGAAGCTGATTCATGCTACGTTATTCTACGTTAAATGAAGCCATATACGAAACTCTTCATTTGCAAAGGCAACAAGAGAAGGTCTCGCAATATTCGTAAAGACCCAAGTGTACCCTATATTATGTCCACAGACATGAGCACATAACAACTGGAACACACAAGGCCCACAATGTGAAAAATGTATAATTAACTAACTCGGCTTTCGAGATGGCCTTTAAATGTGTGCGTATACCGAAAAGGGGAAAACTCCATTTCGCAAGTTTTAACACACTTTGCGAACCATTTAAATAGTTGCGGATATTTAATTAAGTGTGCACATTGTACGAAATGTGTAATTTATGACGTGTGTACATATGGATCATAAAATATTTTTGTAATTTGTTTTTTAAAAGCAATTTAAGGCAATTAAAAGCATATTTTTGTATAATCGCAGTAATCAGAGGCGGGCCGTTAAACTTATGGGTCAATCATTAACTTAATTGATGGAAATAACAAAATGGCTAAAAATTAAACCCTTTGTTAGATCTGAATCTGAATCTGAAAAGCATTCCAAGTTTCTGACTATCCTAACTAATTATACTATAAGAATTTCAGTCTTGTATAACTTGGACATTTATAGTACGATCCTACTTAAGTTTTCGGTGCTAAATATATAACTCTTTTGAAATTGGGTTTTCGTATTTTTAGCTGTCAATTGAGTAAAAAATTCGTTATCTTGCTATATGCTATATTCGTGTGGTCGATTTGGAAAAAAACCGCAAAAAACGTGTGCCATGATGAGTTAAGAATCCGAGTAGATAGGAATATGCTGGATGCCTATTTATATTTCCGGCTAGTGGTTAATCGTTTAGACAATCGGTCATCACACAGACTATTATTATTCATTAGTTATCACCAGGCATATAATCATTTACTCACGTCGTTGGCTCGTCCAGATAGAGTACAGGCGGATTGCTTATCAACTCGAGGGCAATCGCGAGACGCTTCTTCTGGCCACCAGAAAGCTTGCCCGTGTGCACATTGTAGCGATGCTCCAGACCCAGCAGCGACAAGATGTGCTTTATCTGCAAACAGAGTAGATAATTACGGTATGTTTGGATTGCGTCAAGGTCACGCACAACCTACCAAATTCAGTTTGTGCGCCTTGGTGACGCCGAAGCCCAGCTTCAAGTGTGCCGCCAAAAGCATTATCTCGCCAACCATTAGCTGGGGCCGCAGCAGATCATCCTGATGGATGTAGCACGAGAGCTGGCGAAACCGATCAGAGGTTGTCGCCATCGGTTTGCCATTGACGCGTATATTGCCCGTGACTCCGGTTGCGCTGCGGAGCACAGAAAAGGAAACGAGTCAACAACGAAACTCCGGGTACTTTGTTAAATGTTGGGCTCTTGTAAGTACGCCGTATAAACATGCGTGTTTCAAGTTCATAGTTTAATGACCGATAAGCAAAATGTTCGAGTGAGCGAGTAATAATTATCGAAGAGCTTCGCACGCTTTAGTCCCTTCCTTGGCAAGAAACTGGTTTTCTGTTTATTTTGTTCTTATTCCGATTTATATTTATGTATAATTCCGAGCAGCTGTCTTCCTATTTTGGATGTTGCATAACACGCCAGATGCACAAATTTAAATAATTGCATACTCTGTTCAGAACGCGCAAAAAAATGGGGAATATTGGTCACAACGAAATCAATATCAAGTCACAGTTTGAAGTGCACTGCGTTGAGAGTTTACAGTCTGAGAGTCACTGTATTTAAATATTTCAATGTCTTGAATGGAATAGCTTAAGCAAACAAGAACCTTGCCAGATATTTAGCTAATTTAGATATTTAGCCACCGATTTGAACTGATTATTCGTTCTACATATATGCAAATGTATATATATGTATATATATATATATGTTTGTATAAAAGGGAGACGCAACAAAGTAAACAGCGCGAGCGTATGCCATTAGCGTATAAATAATATATATTAGAGTGGCATTCATCAGAGTCATTACATCAATATCAAGAGTGTCCAGGAATGAGAATAATCTATTAGGTTGGTGGAACTGATTGGACCTCGACACGGTCTCAGCTGCGAATAAATGTGTTGATAGCGTTTTTCTTGCCGCTGACAGTTCCGACTTCGATTAGAATTACGCCCGTTGGGCATTGATTAGTTGATTCTTGAGACAAACTTTCGACTATTCCAGTTCACAGACATAGGTCAAAGTCGTGCTCAAGCATATGACGCACGATAATACATACATGCATACATACATACATACATGCATACATACATACATGCATACATACATGCATACATGCATACATGTGTGTAATGCATCAAAAAGCAACATGACTCAGTCGATTCGTTTGTTATCGCCCTCAGTTCCACTTATGTAATACCCATTGTGGGCTCTTATGTATTAATAATACCAATGGGAATTCAAATTGCATAGTATACCGTTTGATCTGTTGAGAATCCGCATCCGCTAAATGTAATGCCAAAGTCCAATTTCAATTATGAGTCTCGCAACAATCAACATTTTATATACACAAATATATATATATATATATATATATATATATATATATATATACATTTAAAAATTGCATAATTTATAAAATTATGCAAGACAAAATCAGACTTTCGCAATTCAATTTAAAATGCGCTTCTCTTATCTGCAATACTCTAGGCACAGCCTTATATAGGGAAGAGTCTAAAGGACTGCAATTCTCTAAAGGAGTGGGCCGATCTTTAAAGGACTTTGTCAGTTATTCCATTATCAGATTATGTAGTTTGTTCCAAATTTAAACCTTTGTCAATTTGTGCAGTCCTTAGATGAATCTGATAATTTGAGAATTTTGAATTCTGAGAATTTCTATATGTTTATGAACTGGACAATGGAAAGAACTTTCTAAGTTATTCACATAAGCAAACTAGATAATCATTTGATCGTGAGTAAGGATAGGATATGGATGACTTACCAGAACCCGGACATCACGTTGAGCAGTGTGCTTTTGCCGGCTCCGGATGGACCCATTATGGCCGTCAGCTCGCCGGAACGAAAGTCGCCCTGTAGACCGTGCAGGATCTCCTTGGTGACTGCGTTGCGACAAGTTGAGGGATTCGATTTTGGCATTAGCTATTTTGTTTCGTGCACTTACCAAATTTGCGCTCGGCAAAGGAAAACTTGCGAACCTCGTAGCGCACATTTGAGAACTCAATGTCCACCGGTTGGCAGTGGGAGAAGTGATAATTGTGCGCCTGTAGCTCGTTAAGATTATTGTTGACTTTGGCCGCCGACGAGGCCGACGACGATGTTTCGTTTATTGATGTCTCCGAGCCGGCTGCCAGTGTGCAACAGTTGATGCCCAGGCAGCCGTGCCCCTTAACTTGGCCGGAATAGTGGGCGCTGTGGCCGTCACCTGTGCAGGTGCTGTTGCTGCTGGTGTCGCCGCCGCCGCCGCCGCCGCAGCAGGCGGCATCTGCGGCCTTGATGTCTGGCAAGAGTGTCATTCTGGGCAATTAGAGCGGAACGCAGTTCCACTTCCACCTTCGATTTAGCTGCGAGACTCTAAAATAAACACAAACTGAGACTAAGCAAATAAACCACAAGAACAGGTATTCTCTGCCCTATCATAAGGTATATAATTATTCGTGTGAACCGTAATCTGGGCACATGAAAGAAAAAATCATGTAATGATATATATTTTTAATTATTTTAACAAATACTCGCTCGAGCATTATCCGGCATTGCCCAAGCCAAGTCTTTGATTCATATTTCTCACAAATTTATTCTGCAACCTAACAAACAGCTAATTCCCCTCCGCGAAGTGGATTCTCCGCAAACGGTGAATCACGTTTTAAATGAAACATTTCACGTCTTTCATTCGATCGGTTCAAACTCTTTTTCAAAGAGTGTTGGGAAAATAAATTGAAGTCGTGCTTTTTCCTTTTGAGGAAAATTAACAAAAAATGAATACGTGCGAAACAAATTTCTGGATAATCCAAGCGCAAGCTCATTAAAAGTGTCTTAGCGGGAGGGTCGACTAGCTTATACCCTGTACTCAACGCCGAGCTGCGCTGTCGAACTCTCTATATCTTTAAAAACTGCACAAATTGGGAGGGTTACCATATATAATTTGAGGGTCAACATGTCAAATCTGAAGAGTTCTTAAGCGGGAAAGGCTATTCAGAATAGAATTGATTTGCAGCTCTCTCAGAGTTAATAACATGCTTTTGCAAAAAACGAGTATACCCTGTTTATCCATTGAGTACAGGGTAAATTAATGTGAGACGTGGTTCAACGCTTCCGGAAAATCCATGCGATTGGTTGATTTCTATTTTAGTTCCCCTTTTCGTGCAATACGTATTTTTCTTGGTGCGTCATGGACTTAAATGCAGTTTGTCAAATGGGAAGCTTTTGGTCTTTATTTTTGGGCAGAGTCCAGAATGTGAAATATACTATATGTTTATATAAGGAAAGCCTCATTCCAAATGTTAACAACATTCGTTTAAACAAAACCGAAGAAGGAACTTTAGTTTCAGTAATAAGACGCATTTTATTATTTCATCAAGAAATTCATGTATTGAAAAAGACATTTTCGATCTCATAAAAGCAAAACTAAAATTGTTTACTTTCAGACTTTGATTAAATAAAAATACCCTGTGCACATTTGTCGAATGATTAAAAGGCAATTTAATATTGAGCCCGATTTGTGCGTATATATCGGAAGATTTCTCTTTACACTTTGGACTCAGTTGCGACCTACAAAAAAAAAAAAAACAATTCTGAGTAGTTTTTAATGCCAATTCATATTATTCGTTTGATTTAAGGCAAACACATTTGCACACGATGCAGCTCTCTCGCAACTGATATTGACTGTGCTTTAGATTCAATCTGAATGAGCTTATATCCGAAAACCAGTTCGAAATCCCCGCCAAAAGCCGAGCAAAGTCACGACAGACACAAAATGTCATTGCTGCCCAGCAGCAAACTAAGCCAAAGGTATAGCCAACCGTCTAGTTTGGCATAGATCTCAATGTCAGAGCTCCGAAGCGATAATACGTTCGTATTGGTGTAAAGCAAAAGTGGTCTAGTCGTGCAGATACCCTGTTTCCCCTAGCCCATATGTGTGCCTATTTTTCCCACAGACTATGCAATTTTCATTCATGATTAAGTCGAAGCTTTGCGACATTTTCAGCGCTTAAAACTGAGGTGAAGTGAGCCAAAAGCTAAGAACATGGACTTTTTGATGGAAATGGGCTAAGTTGTTGTCATTGTTGAAATATGAAATTCTCAGAAAAATAAAGCATTCAATCAAAATGTTCGAGTGCAGTCAATCGGAAGTCTATATTATGAGATACTAGTATCTCAATCAAGAACGAATACTGACAGCACAAGAAAAGCGGGTTGGTTAGAGCGAAAGATCAAGATGAACTCATTCGTACTTCAACGAATCTTCTTAGATGTCTTAGGGCACAATTTCTAGCAAAAGCAAGGCCAAAAGAAACATATTGTCCAAGTACCTATTTGGGCAAACTTTGCACCCAATTTCCTTTTAAATGATCTCATAAAACAGCGACAGCGTCAATTTAAGTCCAACTTCCATGTACATATACAATATACATATAAGCAATGGGGCCTCAACCTAGAACCAGAAACTACAGAAGTCTATGGCTGCAGGTTTGAGTACATTTCGAGTGCAGTCTGCCAAGTAGTCATTGATTAAATCAATGCCAATTGAACTTGTCATTCGTTTCTTTAAGGTCGTGTGTGGCTATATACGAACTGACATTACCCAGCTTTGCGCGGGCCAACTTTTTCAACCCTAGCCAATATACGCAGTCGCCAATTCTAATATAATTTTCAAATAATATTTGATTTAAAGCTCAGCGACTGATACTACGAAATTGGCAATCAACAGGGTTCCGCCCACTTTTCCCATTTTCCACAATCAATGAAGCTCGTATAATGTTGAGGTTTGGAAATCAGCTCAAGGCCAACATGACGAGAGTTCTACTTTCGACCAAACAACCTTTGATCTTGACTTTCCCACTCAAATCATTAGAAATAGTAATACTCACAAGAGATGTTTATTTGTGTCTGACTTTTTACCTGCTTCATACAAATACAACTTTCTTTAGCTTAAAAACAACTCATACAGTCACGCACAGTTTGACAGTCACTGATTCGTTAGGTTCATCAACCCAACCCAGTAGTAAATAAACATTGGGAACAGAGTATTGCGCAGCGAATGCACTCGACTGCAACGGATATCAATATTCGAATATGTTTGTGGTTCTTCAAGTTCTCTATCCCCTCCGATCCCCCCCGTCCCGACTTTAGAATGTAAGCCCTTTTATCAGCATATACGGAGAGACTGAGTAATACCGACTTATGGAAAGATAGGCTGAGTGTACTCTAAAGGGCTTCGCAAGAAAACTCTATTAACCCCCGGGAACGGGTTTAAAGTGAATTAACATGTGAACATGATGTTTCATTTAACAAGAGAATAATATTACGTATTTTTTTGTTAACCCTAGAATCGTATTTGCGATAAAGAAATGTGACGTCACAAGGTCAGCACGTGGCGATTGACTTGGAGAAATAATGTAAATAAACATTTTATATGGGACCAGGAATCAGGGCCACGGGCAAATCTGAATATACGTACATAGTTGCAAACGAGTACTGCGATTCGCACAACATGTTTGAAGCGTAATAATAACGCAACTAGCCGGTTTTCGGGTATTTATTAAACCATATAAAAAGTTGCAAAAAGGTCTAATCCAAGCTGTCGAAATGTGTGACCTATGACCCTATGTGGTAGCTGACAGTTTCAAGTATCAAGTATATATTTAACAGATTTCTCCAAGAGCACTTCACATTTGGACAAGTCAATATACATATATATGTACATATATGTATATGTATATAAAATGCGCATCCAACAAACAAATATCTTAGCCAACGGAGTAAACAAACATTTAGAAAGGCTCATCAAAAGTCCACACTTAAAGAAATATTCTGTTATGATCGTTGCGTTCGTTTTATTGCTGCTTTTTATGCCCTGCTCAGAACGCAAATATTTACTACTAAAGATGCTACGTCGCATTATCAGACAGAGACAAAAGATAAACGGACAGAGAGACGCCACTGGCCTACTTTTGTGTTCTGTTCAGAGAAGATTGTTTACAACAGAAACGAACGAAGTCTTCTGCCGAGGAACTTTCGACTAAAATAAAATGTGCAGCAGCGGCTATTGCACTCAAACGCTCTCCCTCTCTCGCTCTCTCGCTCTGTCAGCACAATTACGCTCTGAGCCCCAAAAACACCAAACTACTCGCTCTCTCCCACTCGCACACTTTTAGTGCTAGTGAGGCCAAGTTAACGAACCAGTTGACCGTTGTAGCCGGCGCGCAGCGGCGTCGGCATTGATGACGTTTTCTCACACTGTTTTCGGCGGCAATCAGTTGTCTCCAGTTCTTAAGTGTGCTTTGGTTTGGGTTGTAGGTCTTTGACTGGGTAGCGCCGTAATTGGTAATTGTTAATTGGTATTTGTAGATTGCGCTTGTACGTGATTTTAAACGATAAGCTAAATAAGTTTACATAACTTAATTCATGAATGAGTCGCGATCTTATACCCTATACTTATTGAGAATAGGGTATAACGGTTGTGAGCGAATTATTGTGAGGAGTACAACAAGCTGCTAAGTTAATAACCCATCAATCTCGTAAACTATAAGAATCTGTCTCTTGAATGATATTCATGTAGATTAAACGCAGCACAAATTAACTTTTTTCGATAGCTTCTCCTGTTTCCTTATCTAAAATTGATTAATTTAAAAGCAACATACTTTAAGTTATTGTCTCGGAAATTATATATAAAAAGCGAATTTCACGTTTTAGGTAGATTCCCAACATTTTTTTTAGTCGTAATTTTAATTTAAGCTAGAAACTGGAAAGTTCGAATATATGCATACACGTCATACACTACCAAATCATTTTATTTTGGTACTTCTACTCTAAAGTTCGATCCAAAAATAATTTAGCTAAGTTCACAACCGCTTCTACAAAAAAAAAACTTGTATTTCTTGGTCACTTTTTGAAAATAATGGTTTAGTAGTAACTGTCTTGGAGTCAGAACACAGGGTATATGCCAGTTGGCAATCTTGAGTAGAGCACTCTTACATGTTTGCTTTGCATGTACAAATATATGCTTACACATAAAATACACTTGTACACATGCATGTTTTCAAAAGGTACATGTGTGTGTGTGTGTGTGTGTGTGTGTGTGCATACTTATTTATGCATGTAAGGACAAATTGCAGAGCTTCGATTATTTACATGTGTATGTATTTGTGTGTGTGTGTGTGTGTACATACATAAGCATTGAGGGGTTGCACACCAAACACGCGATCACAGCATTTGTATAATTTGTTATTAAACTCGAAAAGAATTTTCTAATTTTGAGCGGCAATTCTATTGTTTTGCTGCCAACGATTTTCACTGT